ACCACCTCTACCAAATATGCTTACAAAATTCTCCTTTCCCAGATCATCTACCAGCCTTCTTGCCTGTGCCCTAAGATTATAAATCACAGAGACAGCATCACAGGTCCTCAAGCAAATATTTAATCTTTCTCTAGAGATAATTCAACTCTGGAGGTTCTATTCAATATAAATAATTTCTGAATGCAAACATCTTTGACACCTCATTAACTTAATAACTAAGAGTTGATGCATTTACTTGAACTGTCAAATTAATAAACCAAAGAGAGAGAGACGGTGGTATCATTGGTTCTATGATAGAAACAGAGCACATTGTGAACAAATGAGGATTTTGAAAGTGAAACTTGTAAGGTGCATTTGGAGAACAGCTACTTTTAACTAATCCCTAAAAGCTGGAGACAATGTAATTCTTCCAAGGAATGACAGTTGGTGTGTGTGACCTGGGCCCGCACCAGAAACTGGTGTTCCTTAGAATTATTTCAGTTCCTTAGAATTATTGAAAAGGTTTTTGCTTGAAGACCACTAGTTTGGAGATGCCACCAGCCCTGCCTCAGGCCTTGCATTCAGGGGACACAAATCTGCGACTTAATTACACAGCATTTGCCATCAAATTGTGGGGTGGACATTGGATTCTGAATGAAATCACCAAAAAATATTTGAGGACCAAAGCTGTTCTATACTAGGAACTTAGACTGACAGGAATTCGATTGTGAAGGACAAGTTACTGATTTTGCATCCGTACCCATAGTATTTATTACTTCACACATTATGTGGTTAATGATTAAATTCAACACATACATGTTCCCATTTTATTTTAGTGCCTGGATACTAAGTCCTATTAAATAATATTTGTTTTTTATCCCTGACTGTTAAATAAAACTTGGTAAATTCAGGCTTTCTGGGGCTCTGCTGTATAGAAAATTATTGCTGACTGATTTCACAGTTAGCTCCATTATTGTATATAATTTCAGGGTAGGTGTGAATATACTTGCCCTTTGCAGGCATAGAACTCTCTAAAATGAACTTCTAAAATATGAGGAAACTATTCAAAATGGCATTTTCGTGATATGAATCAGAAGGTAAGATTTTATCTCAGTTCTTAGACTTCACATTTTACTTCCTGTTTATGAAAATGTCCTTGTACAGTATTAAAATGGATTAAAGTGGATATTTTTATCATATTATAACCAAAGCAATATTTGTTAACTCGTGTGCTAATCATGGGACACAGTGTTAAAAATACCCAACTTTGTCTCAAATTAAAACCTCGTTCTTAGAACTGAGTTGGCTTTTGCATATGCACTGTGTATAGACATACAATAAATGTGTTTTTGCCCAGTATTTTAATTTGTCTAGTGTTGTGCTGTAATAGAGTACCCTAGGATTCATCTAATTTTATTGAGTCTCAACAAACACCCTGCTGTAGATTATAAACAAAAATAAAAGAGTAAAAATTTAAAGAGGTGTACGAAAACTCTGGGAAGGACGGTTCTTCTGATTTTTGGTCCATGATTTTTATAATTGTTTTGAATGGTGACAATCTGTCCTATGTAGGAAGAACAACTGATTTTTTGAGATGAGAAGTAGCAAAATTATGGATATGTATTATAGATTGTTCAGTTACTGTGAGTTGATCTTGGAATTGCCTTGAGTCCCATCTTTTATCATCATTATAATGACGTTAAAAATACATTATGTATGTTTTCTGGTGATGGAAAAGTCCAGATTTTCTAATGCTTCAAGGCTTTGGTGTTGATAACCTTTCCTTGACTACTCGCATGTTAGATGGGCATTCCACTTGGTCAACGGTAGCTGCTATGTAAACTGTGAAATAGGTATTTAATGTGTGAAATTAGCTATGGTTCTCTCCTGACAGTTTTAATATACCCATACAGACTCAACCATGCATCTGTATTATTTAGAAGGTATTTTTATTCGTTGCCTTCGATTGGTCTTATTGGAATCCACTGTGCTTTGACATTAGCTATCACAAGGTACAAAAATTTAACTCATAGAGATGCATGTTTATGTATTGTTAACATACTCTTCGTAATGACCTGGGTTTAGGAAGAGGTAGTTCTCTTTACAGAAAGCTCATGTGTCCTTAGCTGACTTTTATTTGTGCAATGAAAGCTGTCTGCTTACTTATGAAGTGTAATTAACCTGCTTTTTCACAAGGAATAGGATAAAAGTCTGTTTTTCATGTTTTCACAAAAAATTAATGCTCAAATTATAACACTTCATTGGACTTGGATATTTATGAACTTGCCATTTCAGTTGACAGAAGCATCTATATCCTGGATTTAAATTAATGACAATAGTAAATTTATTCCTTTACAGTTGTATTGAGCACTAGAACCAAAATGCTTTTGCATCAATTCCATAAGCAAATACCATGCATTTATCATTTTGTAGCTATGCCACCTGGCAACCAGTATCTTTAATCACCTATTAGGAAAGTAATCAAGGAAAATGATTTATATTAATGAAATACTAGAGCCTGAATATTTTAGGGGGGAGTTTTGTTGAGTGTCACTTCTATTAATAATAGAGAAATGTGTCTTATAAAGACAAATTAGAGTACTTAAAACGTCAATATCTTTACAATTTAATAATACATGGAAAGAAGAAACACATATAGTTTAAAACTACATATTTAGATTTTAGAATGTACTTTTTGTAAATCTTTAAGCAAAAATGTTATATTTTAATGGGTGATGATGAAATTAGTTCTAAGAAAGCTGTCAAAAACTGTTCAGAAAGCGAGGGAAGTGTAACTGTGTACTAAAATATATGCAACTCTTAGTGTATGCTGAAATACTTAATGTCTCTTTTAGACTTACATTTATTAGTCATTTTTAGTAGATTTCCAAAACTGAAAAACAGAATTTTTAGAGCTGCAAAATCGGTTCCCTTCATATGAGCACTAATGTAAGAATTAGTTCTGACTGAACACCTGAATGGCCTGGCAAGCTGTATACATACATATGTATCTCCCATCTTAAGCCAGTTAAATTAGACTCTCCATTCACGATCATTATCCTACACAGCTTACAGATGACAGAAAACCACTGCCTGAAAGCAGTCTTTTCATAATCAACTGTGCTCGGTATCATTACCGAATTGTACTGGAAACATCACCTTTCAGCTCTTTGCATATAAGGAGCCCTTTTTGCCCAGCAGACATTCATCAGATACCAATATCTAGATTTTCTCAGGAAAAGGTGAGTGAAACAAGGTTGGACCCCCTACGAGGAGCTGGAAGATGAGCCAGATAAGGACCCCAAGGAGTCCAGTTTCTAAGATCTAAGTCAGTTCCTTCAAGACACAATGAACTGGTTCCTTGAAGCCTTTAAAATAGGAAGGATTTTTGTCATTTCTTTAAACCTTAAAGACTTCTCAAAGCAGCTTCCACCTTAATGACTAATTTTTCTTCTTCAAGCCTCACAAATATCTCAGTGGGTCTATTAATTTGTCACAGTATTTCAGAATGAATCGACATTTAATGAGTCATCAGCCTTATTACTAGGTTTGTGAAATTTTAGGGAGAAAGCCTTATGAATTGCAACAGTCTTTTGAATAATCTTGGTAGTTACTACTGAGTAGTAATTTTAATTTTATTATTATTTTAAATAGTTTTTCTTTCAAGAGGAATAGTGCCATAATACTAAAGGCAAAGCAACTTTAAAAATAAGCACATGAAGTTTCACAAACAGTAAAAATAAAGGAGGAAAAAACACCTTTCCTTTCACAACTTTCCTTATATCCCATTAATTGAGGTGGTTCAGAAGAATATTAGAAATCTATAGTCGCCAAGCCATGTATACCTTTTAAAGTATATGATTATGAGAAGGATATGAACTCCATGTGGAGTAAATTTTAACAGAATATAGTTTCTTAGAATATACTGCTGTTATCTACATGCCATATTTGAAGAGCATTCTAGTATTTATTGTAGGATATATAGATATATATTTATTTATTGTAGGATATATATCATTCTACTAAGAAATTGTGCCTGCAGATTTTAAACTTGTTTTTTTCATTTTCTATGATATTTCTTTTATGGTGCCTGAATTTGCCATGCCTGTCATCTACATTAAATTCTTTATTTATAACCTTCACAGACAGCATCCAAAACATATTTTCCTAACAGTGAGCTAGACATCTCACTGTTAGCAGGCATGCTTTACTCACTCTCCTAATATTCTTCTCTTGGAAGAAAATTTTTCATTGATTGAATCTGATATTTAAAATGTAAAAGGTCATTTATTCTCATATGGTTACCCACTCTGGCCTTTCTGCCTATGCAAATACAGCACTGCTGCTTTCCATTAATTTTTTTCTCTCTTTTTTTTTCTCAAACGCTTTCTTTCACATTATATTTTGAAGCCAAAAAAATCAAACTAAAGGTTCATAAGTTCATGTTTACAAAGTTAGGATTTTTTAAAGTCTTTTTTATGACTTTAGTGAAAGTGAATACTTTGTCATTTGTATGTACTCTTTTGCTGAACGTTATTCTGGACATTTAACTTTCAACACCATGTCCTAAAAAAATGTGTGCCCAGTTGTAGAGACCAGAGAATAAGTTTGAAAGATATGATGAAGTTCACAAGAGTTGAAGAGGAGGCACTAAATTTTAATACTTAGTTCAGTGAATACAGTTCTAGCCAACATCCCTAATGACCGTCTGTGCCTTGGCATGGGTAGTCCTCTGAGGGGATGGGGGTGGAATAACCTAGATCTGGCTGTACTTTTTATGTGTTTCTGGACCGAGAGTAAAAGATAACCTTCCCCTTGTATGACGTGCATCTGTGGCACACATTCATTCCGGGCGTCCAGGTCACAGCCTGTGCAGTGCAGGTGTGTATCATCCTGAGATGTACACACTCGAGATTACGATATTCATAACCCTTTACTTTACAGATTGAAGAAGTTGCGTGTAAAGTATTCCTTCTCCACGTGAAAGCCATTACGCTTTTCATTCTCTTCCTACTGTGCAGGTGACTTGGATTATTACTGGCTGGATCCCGCCACGTGGCATAGCCGGGAAACATCACCTATTAGCTCAGTAAGCATTCTGGGAGGGAGATTTGGGAGTTCAGGGACTATGTGTGCTGTTCGTTATCCTTTGTTGATACGTGATAGATAGTAATCTTATTCTGCTCCATTTTACATTTTATGAAAGTATTGATTTCATTTGACAGTACAGTTCTGAAGAAAAAAACAGTATCACTGAATAATAACCAATTTTAAAGTAACCAACAGCAAGTGTTAAATAACGGCTGTAGGTAGATGAGATATTATTTGGTTAATGATGTCAACATTAACAACTCAAAATATAGAATCGATTTGATTTAGGTAAGCAGATATATTTTAAAATTTCAATTCCTTTCACTTCAGAACCATATTTTAGAGATGTACTTAGTTACTGACTACTTTTAGAACAATTTAGTATAGTAAGTACCTATTGCAAATAAAATATAGCACTAAAAGAAAATTGTTATAAGTCAAGGATAGAGCCCACCAGAATAAAGAGTTCCCTCAGAGTGTCCTTAAATGAGGAAGTCGCACCATGCTACAACCAATAATTATGTGTCTGTAGGAAAGAAAACAGCTGGTTTATCTTTTATAACTTTGTTCATGTTTTAATAGCATCCTGTAACGTGGCAGCCATCTAAAGAGGGGGACCGATTAATTGGACGCGTTATTCTTAACAAGAGAACAACCATGCCCAAAGAATCAGGTGCATTACTGGGTCTGAAAGTAAGTATGCTGGTTTATAATGTTCTTAAAGGCTGAATTACAGTGTGGATTACATTCAGCAAAGTTGCTGACAATGATTCTTGAGTATCTTCTCCTCCTCTTCAAAATAAAGTTCTTCTAGTGAATATACCTTGTTAATATATTGATGTCTTATGGTATATTCAGTACTTTTATTGGGGTAATAGTTTAAAATCACTTGCTAAAATGGCATACAGATGTCTTAGGAAGCTGCAATAAAATACAGGAAAGTGAAATAATTTTTCTCTGAATATAAAGTTCAAGGACAATTTTTACATTAAAATGGTTTTAATGGAAAGTAGTAAAGTTAAATAACGTGGACATTATAATTTTATTATATCCTGACAAACAACACCAAACATTATTAAAGAGATTGTTTCCTAAGTGCAATACAATTTATGGCAATACCAAAAGAGTAAAATGTATCTTTTACAAATATTACCTGACTTCTAACAGATATAATCTTTAAAAAACTAATAAATTACAAAGATGTAATTTCGGTAAGAAAAAACATATATATACATTTTGTTTTATTATGTGTGTGCACGTGTATGAGTGTTGTCACATGGTTTCACTTGCTTCCGTAAACTTAAAGAAACATTTAAAGATGTTGCTTTGGGCTTCCCTGGTGGCGCAGTGGTTGAGGGTCCGCCTGCCAATGCAGGGGACACAGGTTCATGCCCCGGTCTGGCAGGATCCCACATGCCGCGGAGCGGCTGGGCCCGTGAGCCATGGCCGCTGAGCCTGCGCGTCCGGAGCCTGTGCTCCGCAACGGGAGAATCCACAACAGTGAGAGGCCCACGTACCAAAAAAAAAAAAAAAAATGTTGCTTTAAAATTATTATTTACCAAGAGATTGTATTATAGTTGGGTGATAGTTTAACCTCTTCAAAACCATCAACTATTAATCCAACTAAAAATTTGTTATTCAGTTAATGTCACCTTATTAATTATTATCATTAGTTTCTCCTGCTATGAAATAATTCTGATCACTTCCACTATTGGGCGTGACCCTAAGAATACAGATCAACCTCAACTTTTGACATTATCCCTCCCATTTTTAATTATACACATTGAGCCCCTGCATTGGGAGAAATTAAACTTAGAAACTTTCCGATGTGTTTAATTTTAGTTATGGAGGAAAATCCAGGTGAGCGTGTTAATTATTCAGTGATATAACTCAGACTTGGAGAGTTCGATTGGATCCTATATGTATTGATATTTCAGATGAAGGGGTCATTCGGGTGGTCAGGAGCTGAGATCAACTTAGGCTATTACTCTGGACCATGGTGAACTGCTTCCCCAAAGAGACCTGTTCTCGGTTTAAATCCCCAGTCTTTGTCTTAGACCTACATTCTACTAAAAATGTACAAAAGAGATCAACATCTCACATCACAATGGGACATGATCTGAGTGTAGAAATTCAAGTGAATTTAGAGGGTAGAGAAAAAATAAATCCCAGTTAGTCAACTGTGTCAAACACCTGCTGTCTGATGGTGAGAGGGGGAGACCTCGTCTTTTGGGAGTGCGTTGTCCCTGGTGCAGGCTCCTTTGACCACAAATGGATTGCACTTCATTTGTGTTCCCGCACCCCATCCTAAACACCTCACAAAAGCTGTAGGATTAATTCCTCAAACAAAGAAACTTATGTCTCAGTGTGAGTCTTGGGAACTTACAAATTTATAATTACCCAGGTTGTTGGAGGGAAAATGACTGACGTAGGACGCCTCGGTGCTTTCATCACCAAAGTAAAGAAGGGTAGCCTCGCAGATGTAGTTGGACACTTGAGAGCAGGTAAAGTTTCACTTTTAAACAGTTAAGTAATGTGTGCTCTGTGCATGGTGGTTTTCAACTTTGGGTAAGTTATGCATAAGTAAATAACTAATTTTAATGTATGCATACAGATTTGTTTCCTGATACGGATACTTAACTAACTGCAAAAATAGGTAACTATACCTCAATGGCAGTTTGGAGAAAGTGAGTAGGAATCTTATTATTTACGTAAAAATACATAGACACAAAATGCTGAAGGATTACTAATTTTTGTAGATGGCTTCCTAATGTTGCTACAAAAATCCAAAACAGTTTAGCCTGTGCAAAATATAACTTCACTATTTAGTCCTTTATTTTATAAGCCATAGTAATTATTAAAGTTCTTCACAGTGGTCCCCAAACACTTATTCAGTACCAGTGATTTTAATAAAATGCAATCATAATCACATTTCTTACACAGATCATGTAATATATTATTTGTTAATTTAAATGTGACCTAGATTGTATTCACGCAGATGTGCTGCTTCTTGGTATTTGGAAATTTACATTATGTTACTTTGTAACCTTAATATGACATAATAAAATCATTTAATATATTGAAACATACCATACTTAGTAGCAACATACTTTCAAATTTATTTTCAATAAACTGTTTTTTTTCATTTTAGTAAAAATCATATTAACATATTGTCTCCAGTTTGCTGTACTTCAGAATTTAGTAGAAATCTTTTGGTGAGAGTGTCTGCTCACCCATTTGCCAGACAGTTACAGAGAAAACAGAGTAGGCTGACCTGTCAAAGTGAGGATTAATAACCCGTAGCACATGGAAAGAGAACGTTTCTAGACTGTGTTTTCAGTTTTTATACCGTAAGGTTATAATTATTGAGACCTTTATAAAAATATTCTATGACTGTTAAGGACATTTTTGTTGTAGTTGATTATCAGGATATCAGTTCAAAATCATTTAGATTTTTTCTTCGATAGAGACATGCTCTCCAGGTATCGTACGTGGAGAAAAAACAAATGAGGGATTTTTCTCCATCTGCTATACACACAGCTTTGAAGATGTGTACTGTACACTATTGTTTCTTATCGGGGACTATTTATGATTCCATAAGAAAACAGCTCAATCAGGAGTGACTGTGTCAATAACCTGAGTCTTTGCTTGTTTAATGACTTGAAAAGAAGCCTTGAAAAGTATGAGTCCCTTGTTGCCTACTCAAGTGTAAAATACCTTTAGCTACAGAGATCTGAACTTGCAGATCAGATTATAAACATGATATCTTTTGGGTTTTTTTCTTTGTGTTTTAATAGACAATTTCTTAAGAAAGCCAGTGAAGGGGTTTTTCTATATTATATATCCCTCGTAGTGATTTTCACTTAACACCCTTATGTGCCTAGAGTCTGAGAAACTTTAAAATGTCAGAAGCTCCACTTAAATAACTATAAAACATATAAGTGTACTTTTCACTTGAAGCAATTGATGTAACTGAAAAACATATTTTTGAAAATTAGATAATATATCCTCTTTGATTTACGTTATTATTTAGGAACTACTTTCCTTCTGTTTGCATATAAACAGCATTGACCTTTAAAAGTACAGTTTGTTTGTTTTTTATTAGCGTGACCTTTGCAGCCCGCGAATTGACCTTAGCATTTGCAGTCTTGCTGTAGCTTTTTCTACTGCTGTTCCCCTAAGTCTGCGCCCTGCCCCACCGCTTGACGTAATGATCAAACCACCAACTTGGCACTGACACTCTCCTTATTAAGACCCCTCAGTGTCTCTCAGGCACCATCTGCTCAGCTCAAAGCTCTGTAGTTTACCCCCAACTTCCAGCCACCTCCTTACCAGTCGTCTCATCCCCAGCCATGGTGGTCCACCCAGGCAGCTGTTTCCACCTCCAGGACCTGGCCAGTGCCTCTCGTGCCCGTGGTTGGCTTTGCTGCTCTTGTGATCTGCCTGCTGAAGTCCTCACCATCCTTCAAAGCCCACGTAAAGTTGCTTTAGTTCTCAAGGGTTTCCCGACATCTCCCCTGAGCAGTAACTAATAACTTCCTCCCTGGCATTCCTTCTGTTCCTCAGATGAATTCCTATCATTGCCTGTAACATTTGATTAAAGGTATTCATGTCTGTATTTCTCCTCCACCAAATTTAAGGACAGGAGAAAGTCTCTTTTATCTTTGTATCCTTATAATCTACATCCCTGCCTGAAAAGAGGACTCAGATATAAATAAATGTTGTTAAGGAGACCACCGTCTAGTTTAGGAGTTCTTGATTTGTAAATAATTAAATACATGCATTAAGTTAATTTGATATTGAAAGGTATGCTTCCAGGTTGCTGGCTATAAATAGAAGAATTTTATAGTGCAGTGCTTTTGCAAAATGTTGATTGCAGCACATTACTGGGTAGCAAAGTTGATGTAATGGGTTGCATCCATTATTTAGAAAAACAAAAAGAACATAATAGAATAGAAAATATCAGGGTAAGTATTGTTTTAGAAAATATTTTTTCGTACACACATACATGTATACATTCACGTGCTGTAACCTTTATTTCTTTTCTTGGTCAATAAAGTTAAAAGACTCCAAATATATTTTAAATATGTATTATTATTTTTTAATATAGTGAAGTGTATTTGTTGCCTTTTTGAAAAACTGCTAGGTAACATCTTAGATCAAACGATCAGAAGTGATTTAACTACTAGTACTAACCATACTCTTGTCTCATACCAAAGCAGCATTATATGCTTTTCAAATATTTGCCCTTTTACTTCTGAGTAAGCAAACACTTGAGGGGGGGGGGATTACTTTAAATAATCCTAGCAAAACAAAACTTTTCTACTTTTTTTTAAAGGCATAGCTAAAAACTAAACAATTCCATATTTATCGTTAGCCTTAAAATGTACAATGATGATATTGATCCATTAGTTCGCCACATGTTTCCTTTGCTACTAAAGTGTTATAGGCACTGAGAACAACAAAATAAGCAGAAACATAAAAAAAAAAAAAAACTAAGACACTCCAAAGTATCACTGAGGCTGGGATATTTCAGTTGAGCCTCCGTTGTCACTTGAAGGATACTGGGCGGAGGCATTTGAGACCTAAAACTGCTCTAAATATTTATGAAAATAAATAATTTTTCCCAAATGGTCTTTGGTGAAAACTCCAGTTAACATAACAGGTTGTTTGCATGTGTATTTTCACATCGTAGCACTCTCCTTGATGACTCTTCAGTTATCTAACAACCTAATAAGCACTATAGTTTTATTACTTTAAACGTATTTTCTAATTTTACTTTAATGCTCACAATATGTATTATGTATAGAACGTGTGTGTTATGAACATCTGGAAGTGGGTTAACTGTCATGCAACAGTTTTACATCTGCTTGCTTTGTAACTTGCCATATAGCTCCTTGCGTTACCCTCTGGGTATGAATTCAAATCCTTTCATGCATTTTTATTCTGTTGTGCATCTGGAGAAGGCAATGGAACATGACTTATAGTTGGAAAATTCATGCTAACAAATGTTAACTGCTGTTTCTACTAAAAGTAAAGCAGGATTTATGCAGCGTTTAATAATCTTTCATGTATAGAGCCGCCTACATTTATTATATGGAGGGCATGCTGCTAATTATTATTTTTTAATGTTTCCAAGTGAGCTGTGCTAATTCCATCCCATAGCATGAGATGATTTTTATATGATTTCTGGTATTTCTCAAAAGATAAAGGTAGATTGTATTGTGCTGTTTCCAGTGACCAGTAATATTCTATTGGGGAAAGAAAAAGAAAAAAAAAAAAAAAAGAAGAAGAAGAAGAAAAAAAGTGTCTAGAAGAACCATTTAGCTGCCATTATATGGCAATCAATTTGCTTTCAAGAGCAGAGCCTAGACAATTAAATTATTTGTATATGTTTTGCATTTCTTTGTTAAAAAAAAACAAGAAAAGATAAAAATAAACAATATATAAGGTAAAAAAATACCCTTTTTTTTAAATTCAAGGGGATGAAGTTCTAGAATGGAATGGTAAACCCCTGCCGGGAGCTACAAATGAAGAAGTTTACAACATTATTTTAGAATCAAAATCAGAACCTCAAGTTGAAATTATTGTTTCAAGGCCTATTGGGTAAGGCTAAAAAAACTTACTTCTTAAGTTTAGTAAATTACATGTATTAGCAGGGTTTTTAAAAGAAGTTTATACATTCATACAGTACATGTTAACATGGATAGTTTTTTTCTTCAAATATGGGCATACATTTTAGAATTTTTAAATCTCTTAATTTTTAAACTTGAATACTGAATTTTCTTCACTACATTTTAGAAGCTCCAGAATTTAACAATTTTAGTATCAAAAAGTATTGATATGTATTTTTCAGAAGTGGACTATAAAGTAAAAATATTTTATTTTAATGGTAGAACTATTTATTTTTATTAATTCTAAATTATTATAGTATTTCCTTAAAGGGAGTCACTAACAAACTCATCTTCCTGTGATATTTAAAATAGTAATCATTTCATACGTCTACATGAACTTTTTATTATTCTACTAAGAATGGAATATTTTTTCTATATCTTTACCCATGGGTAGTTCCAGATTTTATTTAAAATCAAGCAAGTTTGAAATATTTAAACATTTTAATTGGCCATAATAATTGGTATGATATTTTTGAAACTCCAGTATTCAGCATAATTTAATTATCTACAGCCAATGGGATATTTTCTCTATCTGTGTATAGAGTTCCCATATTGGTAGATTCTCATAACAAATCCACAGAGTCCAGAACATTCATTTTGCCTGTCTGTAATTTTTTGGAAGGCATTTTGAACTGTCTCATTATAGTTGGCTTAATGTTTGAGTATATTTTTGGAAATTATTCCCTTTTTTGTATTCTCTAAAATATTACAGAGCCATTAATTCAAGACTTTTTATGCTGGAAGAGTTAGTAACCTTAAATTTTTGTTGTTCTCATGGATATATGTCAATGCAAAACATACCAGAAAATATAATTATCCTAATTCTCAAAGAACTGAAACTGTATGATCATATATTCCAAAGAAAGATATATATACAAAACTCTAAAATAAAGGCAAACTTATAACCAATTTTAAGTGGTGATTATTAAGAGTAAATATTGAAGGCATTTGCAGAAGTATTGTACATTTCCATGCAGATTTATTAAAAATAGTGACACTATATAATTTATGCTAGTTTTACATGACGTGTTTTAGTGCTGAGGTAAATATGAGGCTGGAAAAGAGGTAAGTAAATTGGAAAATGAATCAAAAGTATAAAAAACAAAATTTAAAATCAAGCATTGTGCACATTGCCAAATACTTTCAAATATATAGTGGTTTTAAAAGTAATCAGCTAAAACGCCATTGATTCATGATGACTTAAAAATAAAAGAACTAACAGACAATTAAAGTGGACTGGAATAACGTTTTCATTATATTTACTGTTGTGCAAAATTAATTTTAAAAGTGTTATTTGCATAGCCACACCTAAACTGTCTTGGATTGTGGAATTCAGAGGAATATGGGAATAGGAAGCTTATATTTAAATAAAAATCAAATCTGGCATCAACTTTCCAGTTAATAGGGAAATGATTAGAATCGTGGAAGAATAATTCTAGCTATATTTAATAATTGTTTAATGTAGTTGTGTGATTAATTTAAAGCAGAAAGCAGATATATTTAGTCATAGTTTTGTGGGATAGAGATTCCAAGAAGCATTCCAAATGTAATTTACATGCTCATTGACCAGCATGGTCCAACAGACATCAGCCGTCCTGAGGTACTGCCCACTTTTGCCAACCTACCTTTATGCTTATAAGTGCTATTAAAACTATTTTACCACCTTGTTTGTGAGCAGAACAATGTAAGAAGGTTTGTGTAAATGTCACGTGGACATTTATGCATTAAAATATTACTGAAGCAATTAACATTAAATATATTTTAATTCAAAATCACTTAAAAAATTGTTTTACAACTTCTCCACAATTCTTCTTTCACAGACACATAAAATTCAAAGCTTGTGTCTGGTTTTGGAGCTCCAAATTTAATTTTCATAACTGACTTTGAGGCTGATTTTCAAAGAAGTTGTACTATCTAAACAAATATCGTCTCTAGATTTTTAAGAATTGAATTTTATTTGCCTCGATGAGTTCAGGAGAAGGTAGCAGAAAATAAAGAGTTGGTTTCTTGTGTCTTAGGTATTGAAAATTAGTCTAATTATTACATAAAGTATATATTTCATACGAATTATTAGTTGTACATAAATATATAATAAAACGTATTTATAAAATACACAACACAGGATGAATTGTCATTTGTAAGAAGTATAAATTGTAGGTGGTTAGGAGAATTACTTTGCACAAAAAAGTGAAAATGAAGAGTCAGGAAAATCATCAAACAGAAAATGAGTTTTGTTTCAATTCTCCCCAAAAGTGCAAAGTGAAGTTAGTTCACAAGGTAAGTGGTTAGAAATTCTTAAATAATATTCTGATAATTTTATTGGGACTAGCTAACTCCAGTCTGCTTTACTTTGTCTGTTGATATTTGCATATCGTTAATCTCCTTACATTGATACTAAAATATCTTGGAAAACAGAGGTTAAATAGTTTAATACAGTATAATTTCCAAACTAAGCTGGTCTAGGGTTCTAAGCCCACAGTGGATAATGGGTGAAGCTGAGGTCATGTTAAATATTTATTCAGAACAATCTGTGAGTGTGTCAGGAGTGGCTGTTCTCACCAGTCACTTTCTAATCATCTAGTAAATGGCCACATATTTAGCTAACTTCAGCATAGAAATATGAATCTCTGTATAGGGTTATATATGTGTATATTAATTATATATTCACATATATAAAATATTTTGGCTTTTCTGTTGCAAGCTTGAGCCATTTTTAATTTCCAAAGCAATCCATCCTTTTCATTTTTTAACTTTGCCCATGATATTCACCATATTATTTTATTATCAAGAGATGTTTCCCTCCCTTTCATTCAGTAAACTCTTTCAGATGTGTTTGTAAAGCATATTACTGATTTGTAAAATATGTGTCATTTTGATTTTCTAGAATTGAAATAAAATATTGCCTTTGACATTTTTTATTTCCAAAACCTGCTGTTTTGGTAGTAAAAATATTGTGGTGATTTTAGCCACAATATTATTCTGATTGTTGTCATGTTAAAGTGTTTTGCTAGTAAATGTATAAAAACTTATTTTTCCTGCAGTTTTTTTTGTGTGTGTGGTGTTTGACATTCATGCACATTAGAAATTGCCTTTATGGTAACTCCCGTCCATTTCCACACCTGTAAAGACCCAAAAGGGTTTTCCACACCACTGAGATAAAGTGTGGCTGTGATTGCCTCAGACAGGGTGGCTTAAGCTAATGGGATTTTCACCATACCCTGTTTCTTTTAGTGACATTCCACGGATTCCTGAGAGCTCCCATCCTCCACTGGAGTCCAGTGAGTATAAGATTTACTGTCTCCTTTAGTTATTTGATGTAAATGAGTTGGCAATCATGGCAGTCATGGGAAACCCAAAGGAGTTCTGCTTTAAGATTTTTCTCTTTCTGCTCTTTGTGTGTGTGGGGGTGTGTGTGGGGGTGTGGGTGTGTGTGTCTATCAGAAGATCAAAAGTCTTTATTGGCAATAACCTTCTTGCATCATAGCCGTCAGGATGCACAGAGCAAAATTAATATACTAACAGTTCTATTTGCTGTACATGAAAATGCATTGTGATACTGGATTATTCAGGTTGATTGGAAATTGGCTCAGTGTCATGAGCAGTGAAAGAAACAGGCAGGCACATAAATAATTTTAATACAACGTAACGGTGTCAGATATGATCATGGAAGTGAGTGGGTGGAGTAGAGGGGGATTTCAGTGGAAATAAAGGGCCAGGGGACTGTGGCTAGAGGGTTGAGTTATCTACATGGGCATTAAAGGGACTCCAGATAAAAGAAGATGATGGGGCTTCCCTGGTGGCACAGTGGTTGAGAGTCCGCCTGCCGATGCAGGGGACACGGGTTCATGCCCCGGTCCAGGAAGATCCCACGTGCCGCGGAGCGCCTGGGCCCGTGAGCCATGGCCGCTGAGCCTGTGCGTCCGGAGCCCGTGCTCCGCAACAGGAGAGGCCACAACAGTGAGAGGCACGCGTACCGCAAAAAAAATGTGGAAGTAACTCAGATGTTTACCTTGCATTGGATGGGAGTTAAATTAATTCTACTTGGGCTTGCTGGTTATGTAACCCAGCTTATAGGAATAGAAAATACAAGGTGATTTAAGGGGAAAACAAGTGATGGTTATAAGAAGGTGGAAAATACACGGATGGGATAAACAAGGAAGTGGAGATTAGGTTAGTAAATCAAATGCATAGCATCATATTCTGCATACCTGCTAGACATGAGACCAGATTTGGTTTTGAGTTTTCTAATATAAAGAGGGAAATGGAACCAATTGCATAATTTATAGTGTTGATGTTATTTAAAAAGAAAAAAACTGGTATATTAGAAACATACTGACTATTAGAAGCAACAGTGTCATTGTACTGAGACCGAAGAAGAAAATTATCCTGAGAATACTTTCATAAAAAAGACAGTAATAAAGAATTTTATAGCACTGTTTTGTCTAGTTAAAAGTCTTCAGAAAGTACAGAATGACGCTGATTTAATTTAAACGTAAGTTGCATGTATGGAAAAAAATGTGGATGACATACTCTTGGGAAATGGTCCATAAATAGTGTTTTCTCAATAAAGCTAAGTTTTGAATAGCTGTAGGTTCAAGGTTATACTTGCTGGAGTAATAGCATTCTGCAGACATCCATATTGCTGGTTGTGGACACTTTTATCAGTGACCCGGGAAGAGAGGACTTTCATTTAAAACGGGGGAGAAGAGCCTCACTGAGGGGCTGAGTGGGGAGCCAGCCTCCCTCCTCCACACATGAATCACTAGACAGCATCCTCAGACAGGAGATTGGTCTGTAAGATCAAAATCAAAAGAGATGTAAATCGTATTTTAAAACAGTGATGAATTCTATCTAGGCTTAGACGCAGCTCATAAATTATATGATATGTGCATTCATTTTAATTTCAGTGAGGACAGTTCATAATAGATGATCCTAAGATAATTAACACAACGGGTACCATCTTTCTTATCACTGATAGCATGAAACCTTTAACTGTATGCGAGGCTGTACAAGAACATACACAGGCCGATACCCTCTAGAAACGCCGCAGAGAGTCAATACTTACAGAGTGGAGCAAATAAATACAGTATTTGATTATATCACTTAAAATACCTTTAAAATAGACAATTAACCAAAGAAAGCACGATGATAACTTTCTAGGACTATCCCACTGATAGTAGGTCCTACTCTTATGGACGCCATTGAATTATGGTTTTACACCAGTAACAGATGCATTTAACATTTCGTGAAAAATATGTTTTCTCCACACATCGGTTACCAATACGTTACTAAAAAGTACTTGATTTTTTTTTCTCATTTTAGGTTCTAGTTCCTTTGAATCTCAGAAGATGGAAAGGCCTTCCATTTCTGTAATTTCTCCAACAAGCCCTGGAGCTCTCAAAGATGCGCCACAAGTCTTACCAGGACAACTTTCTGTATGTGTCTTTGGTACATGTTGGAGACCATTAGTATAAGCTCCCTGTTCTGAGTCTGTCTTTAAAATGTGGGGCTTTCTTTGAAGGCTGTGATACAGTCAGAGTCATTTAACGGCATAATCTACTTCATCAGTTTTCATTAATTTATTATTAGATTGTTCTTTTACTCATATATCTGGAAATATTTATTGAATTCCTACAGTGTGCCAGATGTTCTGAACAGTAAGTGATAAATGATAACATAAAATAATAAAGTATCAATTACTTTTTGTGTGCTGTATAAAAGTTTCTAAGGTAAGTAGTTGGTTAGATGCAATAAACCTAGAGAGTCATGTTCTGTTTACTTAACAACCTCATGAGCCTGGATCCTGAGAAACTTAAATTTAAGATATTTTTTTAACCTCTTAAGACATTTGATGAAACTCTTGATTGCTGATAGTAGTGTGAACAAGCTACCGTTTTCTTCACTGTTGTTTTATATGTGATCTGGGAAAAGCTGGAGTAAAGAAAACATGGCTCATCATTAGGAAAAGCTACATTTCTTCAGATTATGGTAGAATACAGGACATTTGATTAATAACTAAAAGAAAATCTTGTTTCACATTGTTCTATAAATTGTTGATCGTGTGCTACTCTGGTAATGTGTGAATTTCTGTAGTCTGTTTTTGCTACTCTTAGTTTTAACTAAACAAAGAAGATAACTGTAAGTTTGCTGTGATTTTTGAAACGCTTCCTGGTTTTAGCTTCTGTTTTTAGTAGGTTAAAGATCTTTGTCTAGTCCCTGTGCTATTTTATCTGCCCTGCCGTCTTTTTTATTTCAGTGTGTGTGGGAATCTCTCATACACTCCACCTATTTCAGGTTTATGAACAGCACACCTCTGGTATTAATTAGGAACAGAGGTATGGATTGATACAGATCTGGGTTTGAATTCTTAACCTGCCCCTTACTACTCCCATGTTAAATTAGCTTATTTTGTTCTAATGACTCTTAAATGTATTCTGATCTATACCTATTAAACAACGCATGGTCATAATTCTTATTTAACCATAAGCCCAAAACTAACTTCTAAATTAAAAAATTAAAGTTAACTTTGTCCCTTGCCAGCACAAATACTGCACTGACTGCATTAGGAGTTTGCAGGTACTATTTCAGTGTGCCACTTAGGAGGAATACCATTTGGCCTTCGCTTGGTTTAAAGGCATTTACGCATTGTACCTTCCTTTGCTCCTTTCCCCTTCTCTCATGAAAATTTATCTGTAGTAGGTTAATTATAAAAATTAAATAAGAAAAAAATACCAGAAAACAGCAGTACCTGGTGTACAGAGGCATACAGTAAATGCGTTTCCTGATGTCTTCCAAGTTACTTGCATATATTCTTCCCAACATCAAACATTTTATTTCAGCTACAGTTGGCATTGCAGAATGCATTTAGTAATGCTATAATCATTATTAAGATACGTATAATCACCAAACACTTGCATTTAGCATTTAAAAACAAGGACAATTATTTCAATATCCCCCCCTCTTCCCTTAGTCTTTTCTAAACATTTTATCATTAGTTTTATTCCATCGCATGATATAAGAGACTATAAATCAACACTGCAGGCCCACCTCTTGTAAGTCACACTTAAAATGCGTGAAAAGTCAAGTTCTAAAATGGTTATGCTTTCAAGTTGGTATTCTTTGCAGAAATAATATCTATAATTCAGTTGTATTTTGCAATTTGAAATTTCCTTCTTCGAAAATAATTTTAGTATTTTTTGTGAAATTATAATGCCTCATGATTTTTACAAATGCTAATTTCTTTCTCCATTGCTCTTAGGTGAAGCTGTGGTATGACAAAGTGGGCCACCAGCTGATTGTAAATGTTCTGCAAGCAACAGATCTACCCCCAAGAGTAGATGGGCGTCCCAGGAATCCCTATGTAAAAATGTATTTTCTTCCAGATAGAAGGTATGAAATAATTTTAGAAAAAGTATGTAAAAATCTTTGCTAATTAGAAAAAAGTAGAATTTCCTCTCTTGGGATACAGTTTCATATATGTTTTAAAGCTTTATCGAGGTAGAGTTGACATACCAAAAATTCCACATACTTTATATATAGATAGATAGATAGATAGATGAATTTGCACATATGCATACACCTGTGACATAGCTTTAAAATGTAATAGATACCTCTCTATGAGGGAATAAACTATATTATCCCTAAAAAAAATTCCCTCAAGCCTTGTGTTTCTTTAAAATAATCTGCCAATTTTAAAATTGTCCATTACCTTGTTTCCACATCTATTAGTCTTTGACAGCTACATCATTTAGAATGTACCTTTGTGTATGCGTTTCTATAATTTCTATAATCGTAACTACTGCCTACATTGTAGTTAAAACTAGAATCTTATTAAACTCGATAGTCTTTTCAGACTTGTATATTAAAAGTTATGAATTAAAGAGAGTAAACATCCCAAGAGCAGCGCTGCATGGAACTACAGTAGGTGGCAGCATGTACTTGCGTTTGCTTTCTCATTGACAAAACATACTTATTTTTCAGTGATAAAAGTAAAAGGCGAACCAAAACAGTAAAGAAAGTACTAGAACCAAAATGGAACCAGACTTTCGTGTATTCACATGTGCATCGTAGAGATTTCAGAGAACGGATGTTGGAAATAACCGTGTGGGACCAGCCCAGGGTGCAAGAAGAGGAGAGTGAATTCCTTGGAGAGGTGAGGGGTGTCGTGAAGAAACGGGTCAGACGCCTCACGAGGCTTCTGTGATGTGCATTATTATGGCTGCTTTTATTATATTTGGGGAACGGCGCTTGATCTAACCTGAGAGCTGCCCTTTCAGATCCTCATAGAGTTGGAGACGGCGCTTCTAGATGATGAGCCGCATTGGTATAAACTTCAGACTCATGATGAATCCTCACTACCTCTGCCTCAGCCATCACCCTTCATGCCACGGCGACACGTCCACGGGGAGAGCGCCAGCAAAAAGCTGCAAAGTAGGTTAAGGCTCTTTTCAGTTACCAGAAGTAATTGTGTCGTTATGATCGAATCCGAGATGAACATTCAAGGTGTTTTTTCAAATGTTCATTAGAGATCGAAATATTGAATAATCAGTCATCTATATAAAGAGGCTTGGCAAAACCATTTTCTGCATTTTCCCAATGAAAGTAATATATACAGTAGAGTGGAGTAATTCCACAGCTGAAAGCTTAAAAATTCTCAAATATAATTCTTTGCCCAGTCCTGATGGAGCTGTTCATTGGTTGACTGATGGGGTAATTCTTGTCATTATTGGTGGTTGCTACATAGAACATCTTAATAACAGTATGATTCCTGGATATTTTTAGTATTATTATTTGTAAGAAATAATTTTTCAAAAGCATTGTAAAGTGTGTTTGCTGTTGTTCATCTGGTGATTGGGGAAAACACATTTTTTTTCTGTACTTACTCATTAATTTTTGAATGAATGACAAAATCTCTTATTGAACAGATGAAACTTAGAAGCCTCGTTTTGGTAATCTGGAACCAAATTGTTTTCCTCATATAATTAAATACTTCATATTAGTGCTTCTCTGATCAATCATTGCCTCAAAATTAACGTTTCATGCAGTATGATGGCTAATTTTGAGGGCTAAACATAAATATTTTATAAAGGGCCCTGATGCCCTTTCAATAATATGAACTCAGTAGAGTTCCAGCCAAGAAAGTTCTCTTTGAACCTTTCCACTCAGCCCCATCCTCCCTGAACTGCAGAGGAGGGCGCATAATTGTGTAGAAAACAGTATACACTTTGTTATAGACCTTAATTAAAAATAATTTGAAGAGTCAAAATACTCTTCTATGAAATCCCCTTCCTTCTATGTGTCTTCAGTAATTATAAGGATGCTGAGAATATGTTATCCTTGGATAACGAATATTTTTTTAAACATCAGCCCTGCATTAACTTTGTAGTACATATATGTATAACTGAATCACTTTGCTGTACACCTGAGACATCGTAAATCAACTCTACTTCACCAAAAGTGAAAGTATTTAGTAATAATGTAATTAGCTTTAAAAAAAAATGTGACCATGTCCTCCACATCTCCTGACCCGAGCGGACACAGAGGTATCTGTTTGCCTTCCTGTCGTGCAGGGTCCCAGCGAATCAGTGACAGTGACATATCAGACTATGAGGTTGATGATGCCATTGGAGTGGTCCCTCCAGGTGCGTGGGGGAACGTGGCCGGCTTCACTGTGCTTCCGTGCTTGCTTTGCTGCCAGCTTCCAGACTTCCTTGGGTCCCATATTGGAGATTTAGAGCACAGAGAAGTCTGGATTATACTATTCCATGGTGACTTGTCTTCCAAATTATTAAGAAAGTTTGAGGTGGACTAGTAAATACTCATTAACATCCCCACTTAAATTAGTCAGGGTCTCCCTTAGAAGCTAACGAAGTTCAAATCATCATTTCACAATGCTCTGAGCAGAAGTGAAAATATGACTTTTGAAAGGATAGAGTTAATTCTGTAATAAAAATTCCATTCTCCTGTGTTTATACTGTATGTCTATGACTTCGCTTCCTCCGTTTCTGAAAATAATGTAGCCTTCCATGGAATACACTGAGACAGGTGCATGGCAGGGTTGAAAACTGCATGTGGCATGGCTTAGCTTTTAACGCTTTTGTGAAATGCTCAGCACTGATTATACGTAGAATGTGTCTGTATGTTTTAAAATAAGGAAATGCTTTAGAAAGATTCAATATTCGTTTGAAGTCATTGTCTTTTTGTCATTGTATAAATTAGTAAAATCTTTGTGACACTGTGCAGTTCAAATCTATGTTTCTCATCTGAGTCTAGTCAGAAAGTGAGTCAAACCAAGTAGTGAAGACATATTTTCTTGGCACTAATCCTGTTCCCTTTATTTACTAATGAAGAGTGGGGAGATATTCAAATAAGAAGACATTAAAGAGAAAATCTTGGGGTATATAAATAGGGGTTCTTAAAGACATTTCTTTGGGACAGTATTGACAGATGTTCCCTTAATTTACATAATTTTTCAGGTGGGGATGCACTTAATTTGAGGGCAACGGTTTTGGTAAAGTCAATCAATAGACATTACAAAGACTAGTGACTGAGGTCGCAATTTAGAGAGATACATACGACTTCGTTAAAACTGGGAGAAAATTATGGAGAGTTTCCTAAAATTAAGCTTCATTTGCTCCGTGAAACTCAGAGAAAATATTGTCTTTGATCACTGTATGAAAGTAGCAGATATCTTAAAAACAATGAGTCTGGTTCTGTGCATATCTGTGTACTTAGATATTACTCCTTGATATCAGACCATCAGGGAGAGTTTGAAATAATAGTGGGTCATTGTGGATAACAGTTCATGTTTTGCTTTCTGAGTTTGTTGATTTATAAAAGGATCAGAATAATTAGGCACACTCTACCCAGAAAATTTCACACAGAGTTTAATAGAATATTGTCTTTATGGAATTGCAAGGGGGAAGGTAGTTCTCCATGGTACCCATTGGCATATTTAAATAGAATTCAGACGATTCCTCGTAGGAAAGGGGTCTTGTCAACAAACCTTTCTAACAAGAATCTTGGCTGTTAATTCATATTAATGTTGTCACTTCTAACTCATCTGAATAGAATTTACTTCTGTGGGTGGTTCTCACAGGCTATTCACCTAAAATTTCACATTTTTATGATGAGGCCGGTTAGTGAATGAATGAATGAACGGCTAATTCAACAAATACTTACAAAAACGATGAGTTTCTTCTTTTTTCCTTGAGAGACCACATGGGTAACAGCCAAAATGGGAAGTATAGGACTGACTGCAGTGGTGTTAGTGTTTGGAACCACCAAAGAACACTGAATTCTAGATATATCTATATTCTATCCTGATATAAACATATGATTATACATGTTTATATCAGGGATTATCCTTTTACCATAGAGAAGCAGTGTCTGAATTTGTCATTTCAAATGATATCCATTTTTATTTAGCATTTAAAATGTAACAAAGCAAACTTTTAATAGAATATAACTAATAAATTATGTAAGCCAATCAGTAGTATTTTATGTTCCAGAGATTTCTTCATAAATTAATAAAGGAGATAATGGAATTTACTTATATTTTAGGGGTGCCCTTCAGTGATTCAAAATGTATATATGGTAGCTTCTAAAGATATACATGTGTGGCAAATACAGTATAGCAAGACACACAGTAATAAGCAATACATTTTAAGTGAAGAGGAAAGATAGTAAAATAAGGGCAAGAAGCTAAAATAAAGTGAGGGGATAAGTTAATAAACAAGTGTGTTGATACATAACCAGATATTCTAAGAGGCTGATTACAGATTTCCTAGTGTCCAGTATAGAGAGAACTTTGTTCACGCGTGGATGCCAGGTAGTTCTACGTGTGTTTAACACACTCAATGAAGCTTCTGGTTACGTTTGCTGAAGCAGCTGGAAAGTGTCATTTAGATGTTCTACCGCAGCTGGGCCTTGAACTTCCTAATACCTGGCTTCTCTAGGACCACAGGGTTCTGTGTTCTCGTTTGATGTATTACCACCTTTAAGCAGTTGAGACCTCCAGAGCTACATCTTACTACCTTTATGGTTGTCATAGCCTTATTGTTACTTAACATAAGTAATTTCAACTGCTTAAGAAGAATAAAAATAACCACACACGGAATGCCCTCATCTGAGGCCAGGCGTCTGGCAACCTCAACTTTCAGACCATTACTGCAAGTTCAGAAAATGAAAAAAAAACAACAACAAAAACAACCCGATAACTTTGAACTAACTGAAACATTGAAATGAGCATAACATAGCAGTTCCTTCTTCCCTTTTTTCTGAAGGCAGTGTGAATGTTGTCAACAGTAAACTAAACATAATATAAAAAAATGAATTATTATAAAAAGCAGGGAAAGGCCTATGAATGCATATTAGGGTAGGATAAAAATGACATTAATCTCTATGTAAATACAAAGAATCCAAGAAAAAAATGAATTATACCCTTTTACAGAAGATGCCTAAAGTCTCTAAAAGTTACTTCAGAATAATTAATTATTCCAAATCGAAAAGTTCCATTTATATACCTCGAGTATTCATTGAAATCTTGAAATGGTGTTCCCAATTCAATCCTGACCTTCCATAATTACAATATAATTGATACCAAATGTTTTCAAATGATACCAAATTGTAATTTTAAATGTTTTAAGTAATTCACACTTTGGATTAATTATCTTTAAAACAGCCACCATTATTTTTTAATATTGAACTATGGAATAAATTCACTACATGTAAATTTAGTTGGTTTCGTTCTAGACTTAATATTACAATTTGTATGTCTGAACAAGGAAATTTTCTACATGAAATTCAAAATAGTACCTGAATTGCTCTTATCTTTGTCATAAAATGAAATTATAAATTATACCATTTATGTTTATATTATTTGGTCCTTTACCGATGTTTTTAGAGAGTAACAAAATGGCTGAGCTTCTTTGGTGTCAGTATTGTCAAATTGGCCTTTATGTAATGTTTAAAGACCTTCCGTATATTCTAAGCTTAGTCAAAAGATTATACAATCACATCAAATAAACTGCTGGGGAATTTAGTCTGCCTTTAATAATAATGTTACATGGCATATTTTAAAAATAATGTGAGAGTTGTCAAGTAAATAAATGAGTAGCAGTTCAAGCTACCTTGTTAGACTTAATGTTTTCATGGTTGTGTACATTTCACGTAGTTGTAAATATCATTATTTTTCCTTTGGCCACAGAATTTTTTATTTTCCTTCCAATAATAGCAACAATAACCCTGTGAAAACATTAATTAACGTGTTACTATGGTTTGCTGTTTTATCTTAACTAAATCAGAGATCATAGAAACCTTTTGGTTTCAAGGGAGAATGACTTTTAGAATTTAATTTTAAGTAACTGTATTAATTATGTTAGGTTACTAACACATTTGTGGAATAGTTTCAGATGTCTGGGGTAGATTTGATAATTGTTTCTTTCGGAGGGTTGATTTGTTCTGCATTATTGCCATAGTCAGCTCCACCCATACCCTATTTTCATTTGAAAATTGCAGTATCATCTGTGGTCCTCAAAATTCACAATCAGTGTTTGTTATAGTGAAGCCCTGCTGCTGTTCAATTAAAATTGGTATGGTAGCATCTTTATTTTCTTATTAGTGAAGCCATCTGAAATCCAACTAACATAATTTATCCTTTGGCAGAAAAATTCCAATAACATTCGAAGAGACACTAAATTTCTAAGCATTGACTTGTATATGAGTAACAGTTCACTGTCAAGTGCTTGATTTGTGTTGCTAAAAAAATCACTCACTCATTCCGTAAACTAGTATCCCAACTCATCCTGGCGTCTGAGGCATCAGCTGTCATATTTGTCACGAGTATCTCCATGGTAACCTTTGAGCCAAACTGTACCCGGTCCTCATGCATGTGTATGTTACGCTCTGTACCTATACTTAGTAGTTTCGTCGATAAGGCTGGTAATACCGACTGCATGGCATTTATCTTCATAGGTCAATGGCCGCTTTCCCTATCATGTGATGTCTCCACATAAGCACTGACACTATAGAAGAATACTGACTCGTTCTTTGTGTACACTCTTGCCAGTAGGTTATAGGTCAGGTGCTAGAGAAAGCAAACCTTCAACACTAACTGTGCCAGAGCAGCAGAGAACAACGCACCACCGATCACGGTCGGTATCTCCTCATCGTGGCGATGATCAGGGGAGGCCGCGTTCCCGTTTACCAAATGTGCCATTACAGAGGTAGGCTTCGAGAAGAGCTTAGCATCTCTGACGGTACTCTTTATTATAATACAGCGCAAACTGCCACAAGACTCTAAGAGAAATGAAATAATGGTTTGGTCAATCAAGTTATTTTTTTCAGAATCCTTTGTAGGCAAGATGCCTTTTTATTCATTACCCAACCTATGCAACATTCTGTTCTCTAATCTCAGGTAATCTCCCAGGGAGTGGAAGAAGTGAATGTTGCAAGCACAGTTTTTGAATAACTGTCTTGTATTCTGTTTGCTAGTTAATTTTCTCCTGTTGGGAGAAATTGTATGGTAATAAATAAGACCTGTGCAGAGAAGTGGCACAAATGATAAGGTTGAGGCAGAATGCATTTTTAAGAAATTTGGGATTGTCTCTTTGAAGCACTTTAAATGTTTGGAAAAGCATATAAGACGGAAGTTATATCGTGCTGTATTTCATCTCACCGAAATACACTTCTGAAATTTTCACTAAGTATGCAGATGAAAATCGTGGTCCTTTTTTGATGGAAGTAAACAAAGGAGGTTGGAGAAATACAGCACAGGCAAAGCAATGGTAGAGAATAAATACCTTTAAAACATGTATTTGGTGATGAGGCCAGCACTTTTCAAGCCGTGTCAGTTATTTGCCAATTACCGTCCATTCTTTCCTGTTAGTCTGTCAGCCTGTTTGGGGAAGGTGGTACATTGTGATGCATGTAAATTTTTGCAATCATTTCAGGAGTTTAGATGAAATTCATCCAACAAGAAGGTCACGTTCTCCAACCAGACACCACGACGTGTCCTGCAGCCCAGTTGGTCACAGACCCGGAGATGTGGACAGTCAGTGTCTATCAGAACAAGACAGGTATTTGTCCACGTTATGATCTCAACGCTGTATGTCTTCTTTGCTCTGTTTTCGTCTATGATAGGTATCTTGGCATAGTACAAAAGACAGGAAAAGTATTTCATCATTCAAAACTGAACTTCTCCCAAGGAACGACTCTTAAGATATTCTAATAGAAATGCAACTCTGGGAAATATTTGACTAATATTATATTGTCATAAAAGGTGCATTTAAAAAAAAATCAGAATTTATGTTTAGCCAGTTTTAAATGTACAGTTTGTTGTTGACTTAGATACTAACCTAAATTATAGAAGGGAGTCTACATGAGCAATTTTCAAATATTTTATTTTTTGTGGGTTGCAGTCTTTGGGATATTATTTATGTAATTATAAAATTATGTTTTTCTGCAATAAAAAGTTTTTGGGTACAGGCCATCTGAAAGACAGTTACTATTGCAGAGTTTCTGTGAAAACTTCAGCAGTCATATTTTTCAGTACACCTACTTCCCATAAAATGTAGTTACCTAAAATGTCTATAAAGTACAAAATATTGAAATGGATTCTTTCTTCTATGGATGTGTACTTAGGCTTAGTTCTGCATCTGTTTGATGTTATGACTCCATGGTCCTACATGCCCGCAGACTTTCTCCTCAGACCAACGCCCTTCCTGTAAGACGGGCCTGACCACAAGCTCACGATCTGTTTTGGGTTGTTAGAATCCCCAGCTGGTTGAATCGTGTCTTCTGGCTTTTTGAAGTGTAGAAACTTTTAGGGAAGGGTAGGGAATGAGGTTGGTACGCAATGATTGATCTTTGCTGTGTAGTCAAGGACACAGAACTAAAGGAGAGCCTCTTAGCTCCCTAACTGTCACTCTGATGGAGCCATGACCTTCAGGAGATGAGGTTGTGGTACTTACTGGGACAGAGCACTGCTCGGAGGAGGGGGTCCCCGCTGCTCAGGTGGAGTGGAGTCAGGTGAGGGTCCCTTTGTTGATATTCACTGGAGCCACCATGAATTTAGGTGAGGAGGGGGAAAAAGAAGGACTTCTGGGCCAGGGCATTCAACAGAGTGAAATTAATTTGAGTGTAGAAAAAGTATCAGTTTTAAGATAAAACATTCCTAATCAAGTATGTTCTTAGTTGGTAAAGGAGAAACAGAATAAGTGATATTGCATTTTACAGGCTATAAGAGCCAAGAAAACTGTCATGCTTTGAGTTGCTAAAAAGAAATTTTAAAATTTAGGGTTCCCATTAGTATCAGAAAAGCCAGATTTATAGGGCTTTTAAAAGTTGTTAAAATACCTAAGTGTCTAGAATTGGAAACAGATTTCTATGTGTTATTTGGGGAAGGTTCAGTTTAGTTTAGTTTTGCCTTGATACTCTGTGAAATCACTTTGAAATACAATAGCAAATCAGCAACAGCTAGGACTTCGACCATAATGTTTGTACTTTATTGTTGAAAATTTAAAAAGTACTGTCATGTTTATTTTTGTTTAACCTCTCAAGCAAATATGCTAGTGTAGACAATCTGGTTTCTTCCCTTTCCATGTTGTCATCGGCATACCATTGGCATAACCCATGTCATTTAATGCCTCATAACTTATCTGTTTCACTCACCACCCATCCTGTCTGTGCAGTGAGCTTCTCATGCTTCCCAGAGCAAAACGAGGACGAAGTGCAGAATGCCTACACACCACCAGGTAAATACAGGAATTTGGTGACGGTAACTGTGTGTGATGACTCTTTCCATTCTACTCTGCTTCCGTCTCCCCCTTAGCGGTATTATTACGAATACGTGAAATTAGTTTCCCCAGTGTTCAAAATTGGTTTTGTTTTATATGGAGGTTGTGGAAAAGGTTCCAAATATATTTGAATTCTGATCCAGACAGACTGCTTTTCTATCAAAGTATTTGAAATCCAGAGGCTGCTGAGCCTCTGTGGCTGTAAATGTGTTTACACATTTCCAAAACCGAGGAACCGATTTCTGCAATTAAAATTCTATAACCTCGCTGTGAGCCCCACCACACACACACACACACACACACACACATCTAGACACAAGAGGTCTGATCCGCTGTGCATGGCAGTGTTACTGTTTCCGTGATTATAAGTTCATCACTTTGTTTTAGCCTTCTTTTATTTTTATGTTTTGATTCTACTGTTGTTTTCTTTCTATTTGCTTTTAATAAGATCTTTACCACTTCATTTTTAAGAGCTGAGCTTCAGTTTCCTTCTTGATAAAGAGTGCGGATATATGACCTGTTAACTTCTAAGCCCTCCCTCCCTTCATACCCTCACCAGGTCAGAAATGCTACACTACCAACTTTCCCATAGAGACACATAACGGTATAAAGCCTCCGTAAAGATGAGAAGAAGAGGGGATACGTTATTGTCGTCTAAATTGGAGCTGAGAACCTAGCACTTTATTTTCATCTCATTACATCTTGGATCTCATATCCCAAATAAGTCCTTTTACAGATTACTCAAAGAATACAGTCTGTGCGTATTTATTGTCAATGTGAAGTTAATGGAAGGTAAAGAATAACTAGGTGAGATAAATGAACCAACACACAGATAAACTCTTTCAAATATTATGGCCAATAAAGAGTAAATAGGAGAGAGAAGGAAAGAGCTGTACCTGGAAAACCTGTGACGCAAACACAAATGCAGCTTTATTGTGTCTGTGTGGACCTGGGCTTCCGCTCAGGAATTGAACGTGATCACCCGAATGAGAACTAACTTTCTACATGTATTAAACTCTCCTAGTGATAACTACTGCCCTGTGTGCAGTGCCACAGGGAAAAATGAGGGATGTTAGTTCTGTTTGCAAACTGGAGAAATAATGTAAAATCCTAACTATTGTAAAAAAACCAGCTCAATTCTTTATAATTCGAAAGCCTCCAGCCTTACTTTGGTTGTCCTGACAAATAGTTTAATAGGAATGATTTCTTTACAAATTCAGAAAATTTTCTCATAGTCCTGTTGGGGTGACTACAACTATAAAACACAAACAAAACAAAGCTTTCATATTTATTAGGCATCTGGTGTGTGCCTGGCCCCCAACGTGTGGGTACTTTTAACACATTCACACCAATAAGCTAGACAGAATCACTAAATATATTGTTTTTCTTTCCGTTACATCCCACTTTCGAAGGTAAAATAACAGGATAGGCACAATAGAATAAGCTAGTAGTTTCATCATTTTGTAAAATCTTATCTTCAGAATACAACCTATCATATTCACTTACGACTTTTAAGAATAAAACCTGTGGATTTACTACTTTCCAGTAAACAAGGAAAAAACATTCATTGAGTACCAAGCACAGTGGTAATTATTTAAGGAATTTTATCTCAATGTCCTGACAATAGTTGTATCATATGAACATTATTATCCTCATTTCACAGATGAGGAAAGATGCTAAGAAAGTTTTATTTGACATGTTACAGAGCAAGGATTCAAAATCAGGTCTATTTGAAGTTTTCCACTGACCTAGTTTTTCCAAAAATGTGATCCGAGGAGTTGGTTCCGCATGAAGTTCAGCCAATTTAAGAGTCTGTGAGTCAAACATATTTTGGAAACTTTGCAAATTAAAGCCACTCCCTGGAGATTTCATACGCACAGCATATCAAAGTCACATACTACAGAAATCTGTCTCATATTGTTTAATTCATCCCCCCCCTCACTGTTACCATTATCAAATGCATTTTCCATAAAACCTTTCCTGAGACAGTCATGTTGTACAGAAAATGCTGTGGCTTCCTTACTGTGTCCTAGACCCTTTGTACCTGTTATTTCACTTAATCCTCACAGCATCCCTGTGAGAGATTATTTCCTCCATGATATAGATGTAGAAAAAGGCCTGATGACTTGAATTATCCAGGTTCACAGCCAATAAATGGCAAAGCCAACGTGGACCTTCAGACTAAAAACTCTGGCCACTTTTCATTCTATTTCCATTCTCTGCTGACCCCTGTTAGAGTGTACCCCCCCAAAAAAATTCACTTTTGAACCAATTGCTTAGAAAAGTTGTATAGCAACTTGTTGCTAAAGACAGTTGCCTAAGGTTTAGGAGTTGAAAAGAAGATTCTGTCTGTGAAGCAGGCTGAATCCTTTGCTTCAGTAAAAGTGTCCTCAATCTGTGCTTGAATGTGGTACTTTAATACATTTTAAACCACAGCTTTAAAAGATTTCCTGAATCAACCATTAGTATAAACATGAATAAACCCATGGGGGTGTTTGATATTTAACATGTCCTCAGCAAATGTTTATTCTATTCCTGATTTTATCATACTTTAATGTAAGCCAAAATGGACAATAGATTTTCATATTGACAGTTAAAGTTTGTAGAAACATTATTAAATTACCAAAACATTCATTGACAGGACCAGGTTTACCCTTGGTGATATAGACAGTCCACAATTCCTTATAGGTTTTAAAGGAATTCAAATGATGTTGGGTCTTGTTTCTGCCAAGTCAGAATTCATGTTCTGGTTGCAGCTAATACCCATCCCACCCAATTTCTGGTGATAAATGTTACCTGCTGTTGGATTTGTATCCAGAAGGTGACAAATGGAAAGGACTTGTCCACTGCAGTCACCTCTTTTTTTTTTTGCGGTACGCGGGCCTCTCACTGTTGTGGCCTCTCCCGTTGCGGAGCACAGGCTCCGGACGCACAGGCTCAGCAGCTATGGCTCACGGGCCGAGCCGCTCCGCGGCATGTAGGATCTTCCCGGACCGGGGCAGGAACCCGCATCTCCTGCATCGGCAGGTGGACTCTCAACCACTGCACCACCAGGGAAGCCCTGCAGTCACCTCTTGACCTTCCTTCCTTTACTGCCTTCAGTACTGTGACCAGCCTTGTCCCTGCAATGCTGGTCAGCATTTTGCTTGTTATTAGACTATTAACTTTTAGTCATATTAATTCCCAAATTTCATAAATTATTTGATTAGTACTTTTAGCTATGAGTTATTTCCATAGAAGCAGGTATAATATTACACAGGGATTAAATAGTAAGTTTCATGTTGGTTACTTCATAGAGTGTAGTTCTCAAATCTTTTTCAAATTAAGGCTTTTAAAACTATAACTTAAGTCTTCATCTTAATTATGAAGACATGCCCATGATTCCATATTTAACAGTTCTTTTCCTACCTTCAAATAATTATTGTGGTTTTTCTGAGAAAAACAAAAGATCCATCTGTGTTTGTAGCTTTCTAGGCCTCCTACTTTTTTCATATCCTGATAAAATTCGCTTCACATGTATTTTTCTGTTTCCTGCATGTCTGCGTTCCCATGTTCCAGACATCTTGTTAGGCACTATAAAACATTACCGCCCAAGATGCCCTTGTTAGAGAGCTGTTCTCACTGGAATATTTACAGGTAAGAGTCACAACAGTGAGTCTCAGTTATAAACTAATCCCTAATCCCTCACCAACTAAAAATAGCAAATTTACTTTCTAATAAAGCATTAGCATTTCCTCTTAAAATTAATTTGATACAGAGAAAACTCATGATATCTAAAAATAGCTTTTAGGGGGAACGGGGGGGAAGGATAAATTGGGAGATTGGGATTGACATACACACTCTACTACATATAAAATAGGCAGCTGATAAGAACCTCCTGTATAGCGCAGGGAACTCTGCTCATTACTTTTTAATTATATGGGAATAGAATCTAAAAAAGAGTGGATATATGCATATGTATAACTGATTCATTTTGCTGTATAGCAGAAACTAACACAACAGTGTAAATCAACTATCGTCCAATAAAAACTAATTTAAAAATACAATAAAAAAAGTAAAAATAGCTTTAATTATAAAACCTATGCTGGAATATTTCTCTAAATGAAATCTGCTTACTCAAATATCGGATTTCTAGTCGTTGTCTTCTTTGTCATTTATTTGTTGTTTTACTTGTTGATTTCAATTATGAGAATTGATTTTATATTATTTTATTTTGGGACGATTTTACTTTGTGGAGCTCAATTCTGCCTGCACATACTAAAACCAAACCCCTTCACCATGAATGCTTTCACTCGAGAGCACTGAGGTTTACTGATCAGATTCTGGTTAGGTAAGGACGTTTGGACGTCATACCGTCCACCTCCCCTGTCTAGTGTTTGAACCAAAATAGCTGAGTTGTAAAATTTTCCTCCTCTGCTGTCCTTCATTTTGTTTTGGTGTGGCATCTGTCCTTGGTAATGAAGTGTTAGGCGTTTTGTTTCAGTGCTTTCTGTATCCAGTTTTTTCATAAGTAGGTGTGACTTAGCCTCATTTTTTTCAGTCTGAGACCCTTTTAAAAAAATTATGCAAAGCAATTCAAGCATAATCTTTGTTTAGTGTCTTTTTCTAAACAAAACTGTGCACGGCCATCCTGTCAGCGCTCACACCCTTATGAACCGACTCGCAGTGATTCTGCACTTTGTGTAAAGGGGACAGGACTCGATGCTTTCCTCTCTAACTGGTCTTCCTCTCTCTGTTTTCTCTGTCTTTCTCCTCCACCCTGGATGCAATGCACTGGCACTAGTGACCTGCAGCCCTCCCTTGACAGGGCGAGGAGTGCTAGTACCAACTGCTTGAGACCAGATGCTAGTTTGCATTCACCAGAACGAGAAAGGTATAAAGACTTTCTTAATCTCCTGTCATTTTGTACAGTCATTTTTTTCCCTATCACTTTGTTTTGTGTCATTGAGTCTCACAGCTTATTCATCCACGTTCACTTGCCGACTGTCTGCATTTCCCCTCCCTTCTGTACACGCCTGTGTAGAGATGTGTGTATGTGGCAGAGCCAGAGGGAGCACATACACATATTTCCGTGAATGCTGTTGCAAATGGCGTGACGTGATTTGTAACTGCTTCTCGCTGCTGCTTTTCCCCTTTTGTTGCTGTTCAGTGGTTTTCTTTACACCTACTCAGGGAGCCTTCGGTACGCTGATATGGTTGTGAGAGCCTGTGAGTTATCTGAAGGGGAAGATCACTTTCCTAGTACTTCCGCTGATAAATAGTATTTATAGGTTCAACTACAGTCTTCCATAAATGCAAAACAAGAATCTTATTTAGATAGAATACTTCCTTTGTGCATCTATTTTCAGTTTTTTTTTAAATCAACTTGCTCTTTGATATAGATCGTTTTGCCTTAAGTTATATTTCAACAAAAAATAGTATGTTTATTATAGATTTCCTGATGCCTTACAAAAATAAAGGCACATTATATACACACATACGTAATTTTGCTTAACACTTTAAATTGATTGATTAATAAATAATTCTGACTTTAATTAAATGGTCATGTACTACGCTGTCTCCTAATTGTGAGCCAGCTAATTTTTCCATTGTGGTGGAACTTTCTATTCCAGTAAACTTGGTTATAATTGATAGTCTTGGTTATAATTGTTATCTCTTTTCAATTAGAAGTCATTCACTGGAAATTTGCATAATACCTCTTCACAAATCCTGAAGAAAAATGTTTAGTTGTGTTAATGTAACCCACTTTTCCTCTTCTTCAGAGGCTGCTTAAATCTTTCCTTTAGCAATCTTTCTAGTCTGATTCTACTCACTTATTTATGAGATGTTTATTTCTGGAATTTAATGATTGGTACAGGTAGACATGTTCATTTTTTAGTGTCTTCATAAGATCCTACTAAAAAAATCTACTTTTTAATTTTGTATTCGCAAAATTTGTAATAGAAAACAATGGAATCTAACTTTTTGTATTTCTTTACATTTGTAGAAGACATTTTAGTTGAAATGGGCTCTTCTTTAGTTAAATGGGCTCTTCTAAATTCACAATTGAAATTGTTTCATTATTCTCATTTGTTGTATATTACCCCCAAAAAATATGTACAAGAGTAGCAAGAAAAAACATTTTTATATTTTTTTACTTATTATTATTTCCTTATATGTTTCTGGTTAGTGTTAAAACAAGGATAGAATGAAGTCAGCAGAATCTTCTGACTACAACGATACCCTAACATCTTAAATGTCATCTCTATTGGTTCTGTCTAACAGAAATACAGTTTGAGCCACATGCATAATTTTAAACTTTCTGTTTGCCATATTAAAATATGAAATTAACTTTAATACTTTAGTATATATCTGAAATATTATCATTTTAACATATAATCAGTTAAAAACTGTTAGTGAGGTATTTTGCATTCCTTTTTTTTTTTTTTTTGCTGTACACAGGCCTCTCACTGTTGTGGCCTCTCCCGTTGCGGAGCACAGGCTCCAGACGCGCAAGCTCAGCGGCCATGGCTCACGAGCCCAGCTGCTCCGCGGCACGTGGGATCTCCCCAGACCGGGGCACGAACCCGCGTCCCCTGCATCGGCAGGCGGACTCCCAACCGCTGCGCCACCAGGGAAGCCCTGCATTCTTTTTTCACAGTGCTCCTTGACCACTTGTGGCTACTACATTGGACAGTACAGTTTTATTCTGTCGCTGAAGCCTGTCGAGCACGTGTTCTCTTGTTGCTCTGAAGCCAGAGAATTCACAGATCCATGTATTGGTGAATTTCATCTCTGATAATACCCTTAGAACAGGCCAACCTGTAGACAAATAATCTGGCCACGATTCTTTTACAGGTCATAGTGAGGTCTGAGTGCACTCACTTATGATACGTGCTTTTGATAGAAGAAGAGAAAATATGATTGAAACCTACATTCACTCTATCTATTGAATAAAAAATAAATTTCCCCTTGAAAAAAAATGAAAGGGGACTGGAATTGGTGTTACTAATGTTCTTTAACTTATTGGGGTCAATTTGTTGTCAAGAAGAAAATAAAGTGAGATGAGTTCTCATGAGGAAATTTACAGATGCTGTAGGTGTGTCTTGGTGTGGAGGATGCCGTCCTTCTGCGCACAGACCTCTGAGCAGCTTTGAGACAGGACAGAGTAGGACCAGCAGTGGGGGCTTTGTGCTCTTTGGAAGATGCACCTGTAAGTCCCCAGACAGGACGTGAGGAGAGTAGGAACTGGGGAAGCTTTGAGGGTTTTCCAGGTTACTTAGTTCTGGTGACTGACCAGAGAGCTGATCAATGCCTGACATATACATAGTAGATAAGATATTATAGAAAAGTTGTTAAAGACATAACTTCATATTCTTGAGATGGTGACATATCAATATTTCCACAGCCTTGTAACCTATCGAGGTCAAACAATTTGCTGATTCTAAACCATCTTGATGAACATGTGTATGCTGTTATACCTACTTAATGCCCTTCTCTGGAGTATCTTCACTAACTCTGAAAGCAAAGGAAGTTCTGTGTTAGTACAAAGGATGAAATTGTTAAAGCAGACTCAGTACCCCACACCACACTTCACTGATTATTCCAAGATAAAGGAGCGCCAGGCACAGTTAGCATGTTCTCTTGCCGAAGGACCCCAAAACCATCAGGCCAGCCTTTTCTCCCTTACGAGGATGGTTTGGCCCAGGTTAACAGATGAAATTTGAGACAGGCACGTGGAAACACTGTTTGCAGAGGAAGTAATTTCTGTGTTTGAGCATCTCCATTATATAACATATTCTGTTGATTACACAACTAGCAAAGATACGTAGGGGTTACCCCATTGCCCCATCCAGTCATGACCTATAAGTCAGGAAATTTGGGGTTCATTTACAGTGAAAGATGTAGAAAGACTAGTTGTACCCTGCTGAAGACGTTGAATAGATAAGGACTCTCTTTTACCTTTTCTCTAGCAAATACCACTGCATGCTTACAAGGAGGTCTGGTCAAGGTCACTGTACCTTCCTTCATCTGTGTCAAGGTCAGCTTGAGGTCATCGGTTCCCCCTTGTTCCCTGATCAGGAAGGAGTGAGTTCCAGGCCTGCTGTTAACCTTTCCTTTCCTGGGTTTTACAGCAGAATGTTGCTTACGTGTTCAGAAACACTGATTTCTAGAGCACCTGGAGAATGATTCCTTTCCTTGGATGTTTTATCTTCTTCCTTGACCTCTTCCAGAAATCTAACCTCTCCTTTCTTCAGTATCCTTCACAAATTCCCTAACACCTCTGTGCTAAGGCAGTCTCCTTTACAGGCTGCTTAACCTCCCTGTCTCTGTCTCCCCCTCAGCTTTCCTCTTTTGCCCCACCCATCCCATCCCTGAAATTATATGTCTATCAGTCAGAAGTTTCCACACTGGGGCATCCCTGGTCGCGCAGTGGTTAAGAATCCGCCTGCCAATGCAGGGGACACCGGTTCGAGCCCTGGTCTGGGAAGATCCCACATGCCGCGGAGCAACTAAGCCCGTGAGCCACAACTACTGAGCCCTCAAACCACAACTAATGAGCCCGCGTGCCTAGAGCCCGTGCTCCGCAACAAGACAAGCCACCGCAATGAGAAGCCCGTGCTCCGCAACAAGACAAGCCACCGCAATGAGAAGCCCGCGCACCGCAACGAAGAGTAGCCCCCGCTCGACACAACTAGAGAAAGCCCGTGCGCAGCAACGAAGACCTAACACAGCCAAAAATAAATAAATAAGCTTAAAAAAAAGTTTCCACACTAATACATATGGAGACAACACTCCACTGTAACTGGTCATGCCAGACCCTCCCCTGCAAACCAGGCCTAAATTTCTTGGTGGTTGGTAGACCCTGTGTGCATCAAAAGTCGAAATCAAATGCACTGTCTCCCTCACATCCTCTGCCAGCAAAATGCTTTCTCTTCCGAAATGTCCCTGTACTTTGGCAGCTTTGACATATAACCATCCACATAATCTGGAAATACTTCTGCTCCTTCGTCTCATTTGATGAGACAAGAAGTCCTATCGGTTCTCCTTCAAGAATCTCCAAGACAGATACCGCCCCCCCTCCCTGCTTCATTATACTATAGCCCATCCCCACTTCCGATGCCATTCTTGCCCCGTTAATTTCTCATAAGCTCTATTAATCGTTCTGTTCCTTTTTGTCTCAAGTCTTTTTCCCATTAAAATTGAAATACCCTTTTTCCTTTGTTGTCTGCCTAAAAATTCTCCTCATTCTTCAAAACAGGAGGTCAAATAACCATTTCGTCTATAAAACTTCTCTTAACCTCTCCCGCACATGCTCGCCTTTCCTTGCCAGGCAGAATTATTAACTCTCTTTTCTGGGCCCATGTAACATCACATGCGTTCTGTTTCACTTAGTCACGCTTGTTTCTTCCACTAGGTTGTACTCCTGGAGCTCAGGGATCATATTTGGCCTTACCATCTCTTGCGATAGCATTATTATTTTTTACTTAGTACATGTTCCATCTGGGGCTTTGGGGGAACTTAAAAAAACACCCCATATTTTCTGCTCCCGAATCTGTGTCCAGTTGTGAGCTAGACCCAAGAACTGCAAGGTGGGGGATCTAATTATCACCGTAAATACAGTGAACAAGTTCAGAAGCTAGACTTCAGGTTGTAAGCTTGCTGGTGACTCACCAAGAGGCTGCCACACTTTCTGAACCACGAGAGGCTTCTGCCTTGTGAGGGCTACTGTGCAGGTTGATTTGCTGTGGGGTTTGCTGTTTGCAGGCAGACTGATTAGGAAGGAGGAATCCAGAAGGGGCTAAGTCATCACTGCCTGATTCTTTAACACAAAGTCCCCCTCCTCCCTCCTTGGGGTGGAGAGAGGCCCGAAGTAGGACTTGAAGGAATTTCCCTCCACATGGAAACACGAGGCCTAAGAGAAAGGAAGTTCCTACCTAAAACTTAACTGTAACTTGAATTGAAGTAAGTAAACTTTATTCCAACGTATAAGCACCTATATTAATTTTCACTTAAAATAGGATTGGGGAAAATGTTTCAAAGGACTAAATGAATAATGGGAATAGACAATAAAAATATGTACTGTATAATCAGATCTCTAGTCTGTTCAGGTTTGGTGTCTAATATGACAGAACTTCACAGATATTTTTTGTGTGTGCTATTTAGGGAATGAATGGTTTACATTTCCATATAATCTCTCTTTTAGATAGTTAAGCTGCTTAGCCATGCTCTGCCAGGACATATGCACCACTGAAAGATGTGTAAATATGCAAGCATACATACGAATGACACATTTAAACACACGCACTTTTGTTGTAAGGTATATCCTTGCTGGGGGGAAGAGCCCCAATGTAAGAACCATTTCATTGCTTGCTGAGGACTGTCAGTTCTATGTCCTTATATCTCCTCGGTGGGTCCCCTTACCGCTGTTGATTTCTTTTCTTTTTTTTTTTTGCGGTACGCGGGCCTCTCACTGTTGTGGCCTCTCCCGCCGCGGAGCACAGGCTCCGGACGCGCAGGCTCAGCAGCCATGGCTCACGGGCCCAGCCACTCCGCGGCATGTGGGATCTTCCCGGGGCACGAACCCGTGCCCCCTGCATCGGCAGGCGGACTCTCAACCACTGTGCCACCAGGGAAGCCCACCGCTGTTGATTTCTTAGTTAAGTTTCTTATTACTTCTTACCAGTATTACCCCCAAACCTCAAATCTTATCCTCTTATTATCTACTTAAATATTTGCAAATATTTATTCATTACTTATTCTGTGCTGGGTGTAGTTGATGTAACTGCCCAAACAAAGCAAAACAAGACACTGTAGCCCCTTATTTGGGGAGGCCCCAGCCTGTTCCTTCAGTTCCACAGCCACCAGAGTGACCCTTCCCCTCCTGTTCTGAGCACAGAGAAAAGGATGGGCTCCCAACAAATAGATGTTTCTGAATTAATGAGTTTAGAATACCTGAGATTAAAGCACTTTTAATGCAACTAAGGTAACCCACAGGCAAGACAGTTGGGAAGAAAAATCAAGAAGGGGCTGTTCTAGTTCAGTTTCGTGATTAATGACTCCAGTGTAGCCTGCCATGTTCGCTTCTAGCATGAAAACGGACGTGGAAGGTGTGTGTTTTGCTCAATAATAAGGGAATAAAGATTCTAATTTTGGTCCTTCTGTGTGATAGGAGAAACAGAGAAAGAAGTTGGACACATTTTAAAAACATATAAAACGTTAGTATATTTCAAGCTCACAAATGCATGATATTAAAACTTATGTGATGCCTGTTCTTTGGACAAAAATTGGGTATAATTTGATCCTACTCTCATCATATCCAAGATATGAGGGTGAAGCAAACATTTATGTTATTGGGACTGCATATCAGCATTCAGAAGGACTTTGAGTGCACAGGTATACATGAATGATGCTAAATATTTCTAAAAGTTTACCTTTTAATAGCTTGCATTCACAATGCCTTGTTTCTAAACGTACACCCTCTCTTTCATGGCTTTCACTGCATGTTTCATAATTATAGCATTTTTCTTTACTTTTCATGTTTAAATAAACACAAGGACTGGAATTTTGCCTCAGGAAGCAAGGTTATTCATAATCTTGTCAAGTGAATATTACTTATTCCTTCAAAAATGTTTAAAGAAAAGCATATCGACTCTGTATTTTTAAAGAACACCTTAAGTTTTCTCATGACTGAGTACAATTGCATGTGAAAAACACTAGCTATAATTGTTTTCAACTATTTTAGAAATGTTTTTCTTTATTGTGTCTGCAGAACAAAAGCCAGTAAGGTGCAAAGCTACATTTTCAAGCATTCCGATTGGATTGACCAACTATATACTCACTTAAAATAATTCAATAATTTGAAGTGAATGCAAATTTGTTTTCAATTTCACAAACACATAACACATTCCAGAGGACATGCCACACGGTTTTCTCTTCTGCCCAAATTCTGCTTTCAAGTATCTTTGTTTGCTTCACGGCTTCCTCAGAGCCCTCCTTCAATCCATCCAAGGCTGAGTGATGACAAAGAGTCTTCCCAGGGTCTTTCAGAGAAGAGACCTGCTGACTAAAGGTATCCTGGTCACATGTTGATAGCCCTCTGCTGCTTTTGTCCAAATTGTCTAATAAATCCATGAAGCCAAGTTAACAGCAAAAAGAGATGGCTCTTAAAAAATGTTACGACTGGTCTTCTTTGGATTATTATAAAATCGTATAGTTAGATGAGTCTTAAACCCCATTCAGTGATCCCTTGTTGCATATGAGGAAGCCAATATGCAGAGAAATTATCCTGCTTAAAATGTTCATATCGAATATATTAAAATTTCCAAATTTGGGCCGTCCAGTCCCTTACTGCCTCTTTTCAGTATTTGCCCGGATGTCTGTAATTTGTGGTTATGCAGAGACAGAATCTCAAGACAGTTTAACAAAAGAATGAACCAAGTTTCAAACTTCTTTTTAACTGTTAATCAGAAAAACAGTATTCTTGTAAATGCTGAAATAAGAAAACAACTGTTTACCCCGTGGAGAGAGACCTTTGCAAGTAAAGATTAACAAGATTTTTTGAAGGTAATGCTATTTTACAATGGCACTTATCTGTATTTCCCACTTTTATCCATCAATGGTTTTTGCTCACAATTTTCTCATTTCAGTTACTAACCCTGCAGTTTTCCCCCAGAAAACTTGTTAGGACTTCACTGGTAGCGTTTCCATGAATTATTTCTCCATGTTATTGTTTCCACACTAGAGAGTAGTTTTATTTCTTCCACTTAAACTATGCTTCTGCTTTGTATTAAATTCACACACCTCATTTGCCACTTTATCTGGTAATTTCAAGACCTAGTATCAAATAAGCATTGGTGGCTTCTTAAATCTATTTTATTCAGACATCTGCCTGATTCTTAAGGATGCATCTTTGTAAAGTTATATATGTGTATTTATGTGTATGTATAGTTTTGCAGACACACCACATTTAAAAGAACAAAATTACACAGGAGATTTCAAACATCTTCCCAAATAAGTTGTTTCTCTATTCACATGTAAGGCTACAAGTTTTATTTTCCTACAATATTGTCATTTATCTTTCCAAGGCCTGCAAAAGTGAAGAGTAGTAAATTATGGAGCAAAGAATCTACACTTTGACTTTTTGGGGTGATTTTCCAGTCCTCTTGTTCCATATATTCTTTTATTTTAGGAGTTACTAAATGTCTTGTTTTTTCCTGTCTTGTTCATTGGGCAAACAGGGGTAGATGGTCCCCCTCTCTAGATAGGAGACGGCCTCCTAGCCCCAGGATTCAAATCCAGCATGCGTCTCCGGAGAATGACAGGTACTAGTCACTTCCTCCCCACAGACAAGTGGCTTCCAGAGGCCGGCAGGCCACCAAGTGGAGGGTAGCCAAGGGCCATGTGGTTATGATGCCTTCCTTTTAGGGGCCAGAGCATAAGAGGTGGTGATTCCAAAACTAAATGCATCCACCTCTGATAAAGCGCCTTAGAATGTTTCCTGAAGTGAAGCTAGCATGCACAGGGCATGGTTTAAACACAGTAAAGTGGGGTCCAGTGGGAGAGTTCTCTCTTAATGAGCATTTGTCTTAGGGTTTCGATTTTCTAGAAACATATTTAACTATTGATTTTGTCTATACTTGACTAAATTAAAATTCTCAGGTGCTTTAAAATGTATTAAAATCTATCATAGAGCCTATTCTTTTGTTATACTGGTTGATGATCTGATCTTCATCGTCTTGTTTTGTTAATAATGAAGTTTAGGCTTTGGGGCCTCATTCCCTGATTTAAGACAGAATACCTCGTTCTTATCTATTTTACGAATATTGTGTTTTTAAGCCAAGTATTGTCCAGGGCTAGGGTCAGTCAACAAGGTAGGTTTTTAAAAATAACATCAGTGCTTTGAATCTACTTCATGCTGTGATGTCACAAGTGCCACGATATGTATTTCCATTGCTTTGTTTTCCTCCTTGGGCGTTGTTCACCCAATTCTCCTCTTCTGTGATGGCTCTTATACGTAGGCCATGTCGTTTCCCAACTGGCTGCAAAAGGTTATGGGTGTTTTGACTGCTTCTCTTCTGGTGAAGCAGAAATTCAGTCATCACATGGGTGACATCTTATTTAGTATATTTCAATTTGAAAGAAAAACTAAACGCCGTCACTCAGGAAAGATTAATAAGTCATCTTACAAATGTTGGACCCCAAGGTGGTATTTTATGGAGGCTTTTTGAATATTTTATTATGCTTTAATCTTTAACACCTTTACCTCTTAATATGACTTAACGTATTTGGAATTTAAATCTAGTTCCTTCTACTGCTAACTGATTTCTAGGATAGAATTTATGAGACTAGAAAACTTAGTAAAATCTCCAATGTAAAAATTATTACAAACTTAAAGTTTTCTCAAATAAGAATATAAAATAATAGTATAAATAAAAATTTAAAATGTGCACCCACATTGCTACTCATTCATTCAGCAAAACTTTTTTGTGCATTTACTGTGTGCACTATTCTAATGGCTAGAGTCATAACAGTGTTTAAGAAAAGCAGTGTCATGGCCATGAAGGAACTTAGAATTTCCTCTTATAAAAGACTATCCTGGATTTCATCTTAGGCAATGATTGCTAGAGCATAAGACGATTAAGTGTGATGGTCTCTGTAGTGAATATAAATGTAAGTTTATCTGGGTTTAGGATAAGCAACATGGAAATCCAAATAGTAGTTTTAGTTCTTACATACATGAGATGAAGATTAGTTGAAGATTAGTTGTCCTTTAATAACATGTGAATTATGATATTTGATTTCATAGACTTTATATATAATTTTAAAGGTAGATTTTAGAAGCAGAAATAGTCCTTTTAGATAAGAATATTAAAGGAAACTCTTCCTAATACATAATTCTGAACATACACTTTACTTTTCATTATGATTTATGTATAAGTTAATTCTGTGTTCAACAAAAGGAAATACATTTTAAATGGCTTGATACTATGATTTATTACTGTTGGGAACAGAATGTTATTTACAATAAGTTGTTATTATTAAAATATATAAGTGCCCATAAAAATGAGAGAGAAATTACTGTGTCAGCTGACGCTAAATTCATAGGTAACCATGGCAACCGCTCAGGAACACAACACTTGCATTTCACCTCCTATTAGCTTCATTTACTCATTCAGAAGTTTCCGCCAATTCACAAATGAGGTGAACATGGCGTCAGATTTGGAGACAGTGAATGTTCATAAGAATTTTGCCATCAGGTGACTTTTGCCCTAGGTCACTGGTTGCTAAAAAAATAAATATTCTAAAATCAGTGACAATTTATATAATCGCCTTTGGATGTCTGGCATCAAGGCATATTTGATTATTTTGAAACTAACATAGTAATACAGTAAGTAAGTATTTGCTTAAGAGAGCTCTCTAGTAAGTTGGAAAGCATTGAGTTGCCATCTTATTTCACACAGTGCGTGTGTTCACACACACACACAATTTTTAATGTAGCAGTTCTCCATAATTTAATTTCAACAGTAAGAAATCTTGATGTCATCTCAAGTGGTACAATAGCTTTATTTGGAATTAACATGGAAGCATGTTTCTCTAGATGGAGGAATTTTCCTAGAAGTTGTAGGATTTTGTAAAACAAGGATGAGGAAAAAATACGTAAGTTTGGAACCCCAGGGAATGTTTGTGACTTTAAAATTCTAGTGAAAATTTTCTTGCAAAATTTTAAAAATATTGAAAATTTTAAGAATCATCACTCCAATAACAAAGTATTTCTTTGTAAATGGCATTATTTTAATATATAAATAGTAACTTTTATGAACCTGTAAGCACATAACTCTGTTATGAATCTTAGTAAAATTGAGAGCTACTTGTGGCTTCAAATTAACCAAAATTTGTGAGTGGCAAGTTAGAAAAAATGTATTTTAATAGATCCCTGAAGCATTGAGGTTTTGAGTTTAGTGCTCACAGTTGAACGCATCATCCTGAAGTGAAAGGCAAGTATAAATTACTGTTATTATTAATATTATTATCACCATCTAATTCAACTTTTTGGTAAATATTTTTTCAAGAAAACGGAACATATTCTTTTTAAATTAAAAACAATGTTTTGATAGTGACCGTTCTAATAAATGTGAGGTGATAGTTCTTACTTGGTACGTTTTGAGATGTATGTTGATACTTCATTGGCTTGAAGTTACTGACTCCATTGTTTTGATTGAGACTGTTTTTGCATCATTGTACATGATATTTTTAAGGAGGCAATTTATTGATGTGACTTAAATAAAATGGAAAATATTTGATAAAATCACATTATTTTCGAGTTTAAATTAAAGTATCCCACTGTGTTTAAAATTAATTCCTGCATTATTCTGCTAATCTAGTTCTGATTTCTTTTGCAACTTGGAAGCAGCTACTTGCCTATAGGAATCTTTATCCTTAAATATCAAGTGGTTCATTTGTATTCAAAGTGGATGAATCTTCTTTCTCCATTGAAAATATTTATGAGATAAAGAAATTACCCACTTTTTCACTTCCAGAATTCATGATACTTGCCATGTAGATGCAGAGTTAATGTAGAACCACCTGTAAATTCAGAGCATCACTAATCATTTTTGTTTGCTTTATAACATCCTTTATCATCTGTGCTTTTCAAAGATGTCCTTTTTTTTAAATGAATGAAATGTACCCATGTACTGAAATACTTAGTGAGTCTGTTTAATGGCTATAGTCATATACATAAATATCAATAATAAACAAAAGGGTAAATATATCTTAATGGTATGCATCCATCTTCACCGTATGTGAACATTTCTTGTTTAGGTAGATTCTGTTTAAATTTAATTTTTTCCTTCCCAAAATTATGAGGAAACAAGATGATGGAGATTTGCATTTCACATTAAGCCATCTGGATAGGCAACCAAAATATAGACAGAAATATTCTTATGATATCAGTGTTAATTATAATTAAAACATTATGTGGTAGAATTTATTACATTTTCCCCAAAGCAGACTATATTTTCATCTTATTAGCATGTTAATTTTCCACTTTAATAGAATTGTAGTATCTTCAGAAAAGTTTTATTTATCAGTGTCTTCAGGGAGTTGCTCTAACTGAATTTAGTTATAGATGAGGAAAGGAAAGTGGCCCAGAAACAGATTTTAACAATTGCCTTTCTTTTCATTACTACATTTTATGAATCTTCACACTTAATCTAATAGAGAATAATAGTTAAAAATGGAACTTCCAGAAAATTAGACTTAATTAGGAATGCCCTCACTTTTTGATTATTACCCTTGCTTCCATTTAATAATACAATAATTATTGTTACAGCTTACATTTGAATATACCTTTATAGCTTTTAAGGACCTTAATTTGTGCCCTGTGAACTGGGAGGCATCAGGCCAAAATCATACAACTGTAAGTTGCGAAGTAAAAAAAAAAAAAAAAAACACAGGATCTCTGATTCTTGCACATCTACACCAAAGAAACATTCTTTACATGTAATAAAATAATGATAAAAAATTTTGATTCAACAGAACACGTTAAAACCCCAAATAACTAAGACACGATGGAGACACTGTCACTGTTTTTTGTTTGCTTTTGTCTAAGGATCCCTCCAGCGAACATCGTCATTCAAAGCCACTCGATGGCAGAGGGGGCGGGAACCTAGGGCCACGGGCCACGACGGTGCCTCACCAACTGACTCAGACCCATATTCCCTTGGACAAGTCACTTAACCTTCCTGGAACTTATTTTCCTCATCTGTAGATTTAGGTGGTTGTAGATGGACTAGCTGAATTCTGATGGCCCTCAAGACGCTAAAACTGAGTCCATGCTGCCTGGTTGCATCATGATGAACATGTGTTGGGCCAGTAATGATGACTGACACCTCATTATGCATAAGGCAGTAACCAGAGGGCGTTTCTTATTTATGGTATCTTAGGTTTTACCAAAGACCAGAAAACAATGCCAAGTTTTATGTCTAAATTTATTTGATTTGATGTAAGCTGAACTGTATAACCCTGATTAGGTTTTTACTTGTCGTAAGCTTTTAGATTCTCAAATTCCAGTAGAATACTCAAAATATTACTTTTTTAACCACCTAGCCAACATATTTATTGAGAAGCTACTATGTCCTGGGTGTTGATGTTACAGTAATAACCCAAACACAATTCCTGCCCATGAGGAACTTAGGAAAGAATAGTGTAAGGGAGAAGGTAGTTCCTTTCACTGTGATCCATTTTATGATCACATGATCAATAGTTTCAGGGAAATAGTACAAGAATATAAATTGATGGTTTTAACCTCTCCTGTTTACGTATCATAAGACCCTATTCCAAGAAATAGCTGTGTTTAAACATACAATATATTCATAGCTATAACTTAGGATTTGGGGTAGAAAAGACAGTAGGATTTTCTGTTTTCTTCTCTATTCTTGCTTTACACTGAATTATTACAATCAAGTGAATGTCATCTTAACTCAACTTGAGGATTCTTTTAAGTGGTTAGAAGAATTATAAAGACATGCCCTTTGTAGAAAACTTTAGAAGAATCTTCAGTAAAGTACGTTTCTGTGGCATTTGAAGAGGAAAAAAAAGGGCATCCATGAGTTAAACACTAGAACAAGGACAAAAGTTAGATGCCTGAACCTCTGCATGAATATTTGTCATCCAGTTATGGGACATTGAGTTTGATACTCTTACACATGAATAAGAGTCTTTATCTTCAAGAAACAAGTATATATTATTATCATTTTAAATAATACTTTTATAGCATTGATCTCTTCCTATTTTAAGTAATGCTAAAAGCGCTACAAATCCTTGTTCTATGTAATACTGCAAAAAACTACAAATACTACCGTACAAATACTGAGTAATACTGAAATATTTAGAGTTAGCAAATCTATAAGGTGATAGTGTTATTATTGCCATTTTGCAGGTGGAAAAAACTGAGGCCCAGAGAGGCTAAGTAACTTGACTAAAATCATCCAGCTGGTCAGAAACAGAGTAGAGATCAAACCCAGTTTGGCTCTAGAGTCCGTGCTTTTAGCTACTATGATCCAGTGTCATTTATGCCACAGATGCAACGCGTTCATGGACATTGAGATTATAGACTCTTAGTTTGACATGTAAGAACCACGTGAGTGAGAGCAAATGACTTAACCCCTCTAAGCCTCAATCTCTTTATTCTCATAAAGGCTGAAAGCTTAGTACCTCCTTGTTGGATTGGTGAGCTTAGATGAGATAATGCAGCAAGTTCTTAGTAAATATTAGACACTGTTAGTATCGTCATGGTTGTCATTATCACCATCACCAGGTACTGTGATGATCAGCCTTGCATCCAAACCCATTAAGTTTAGGGATGAGAAGCGGAAGAGATGAAAGTTTTATAGAAGAAATAAGATCTCGGCTGGGTCTAGACAGACTCATAGAAATTACTAGGGATAGGAGAAAAGCAGAGAAGTTCTAAAAGATTCTTGTCACCTTTCTGCTACAGGAAGGTAGAAAGTTGGTACAAAGGCCTGCAGGTGCTTCCCGTGCCAGCCCTCCACCCACGAACCCTTCTCTCTCAACACTTTCCTTCCTGGTCCACTTACTGTCGCCTGAACATTCCAGAGCATCTCCCTTCAAACTGCAATCCACACCTGTCCCCAGGCACCATCCATCCCCACATCTCTGAACCCCCTTGCCCTGGTTGACTGTTCATCATTGCTGTTGTTAGCACTGATCCCCTTCTGACATGTTATACAATTTACTTGTTTGAGGGTTTTTTTGTTTCTGTTTCTGTCTTTGCTTATGGTTTGTCTTCTACCACTAGAACACGAATTGCTTGAAGGCAGAAATTTTGTCTGCTTTGTTCACAGACATATTCCAAGCAGCTAGAGCAGTGCCTGACATATATACACATGCAACAGATATTTGTCAGCGAGTGAGTGAGTGGGTGAAAACCCTTCGTGACCGTGAGCTTCATGAGTTGACCTTAAACTCTGGGTTCTCACTTGACTCTCACTCTTCTGAGAGGGGACGAGGGACTCTGGCTCTCCCGGTCCCTGGGCACTCCTGGGGCCAAGCATACATTTCCCCAGATGATATAGGACGTTTAATTTCGAGCTCAGGCCCCGGGGTCTGCAGACTTTCTTCCTCTTCCTCTGCCATCACCCCGCCGCGAGCACCTGCTCTGCACGTGCTCGCTTCCCTTTGCTTCAGGAGCAGCTTCTCTTCCCCACGAGCTCCACGTTGAGTGCAGGCAAGTGCTCAGGACCTCTCTGCTCCCCTGCATCCTGCGGTCCCCTCTCCCGACCGCACGATCATCAAGGTAGCTAAAAGCTACCCCCTAGTGTCGGAGGAGCACCTCCATGCCCCAGCCTGTGCCTGGCGTTGTGGTCTCTTCCCTCTGTGAACAAGGCTGCACCCAGCGGGCAGGCGTCAGAGTCAACCCCTGCACCCTCTTTGCTGGACAGTGTGTGACAGAAGCAGTTCAGGAGCCGGACTTAGCTTCTAGCCGCGGCTCTGCCACCGGCCATGTGGCCTGTCCCGAGCCTGTCTCCTCATCTGTGAGGTGAACCCCTTCCCGAAGGATCATCGTGACAATAAATAAGGCGGTGCCTCCCTCAGTCCTGGCCCAGAGTTTTCCTGGGGAATAGACTGATTTCCAACTAGTCAAGGGACGTGGTAAGGAGAGATGCCCCTCCTCTGTCACATCCCTTTTGCCACCTCAGAAGCGAGATGTCAGAGTCATGAAAGTCTCAAGGATACACAGCTGGAACCCGAATTCTAAACCCAGATTCTGAGTTTGAGGGCAAACTCATGTGAGCCGAGCAAGTGGCAGCAGGGAGAGAGGAGGGGCGGGACGAGCATCACCAGAAGCGCACGCCCCCTATATGTGGACCTGGCACTTTGATGTGCATCCCTGTGCCTGGACCTATGCTGGATTTCAGAGCATCTGGCCTTAATAAGTAAAAGGAGTAGAGACAAGAGACTAGATCTTGAAGTTTCTCATCACAAGAAAAGAAAATTTCTAGCTAGTGGCGGTGGGTGTTGACTAGGCTTATTGCAGTGGTCATTTTGTCATATTCACAAATATTGAATAATTATGTCAAACACCTGAAACTAGTACGATGTTACACGTTAATAATATCTCCAAACAAGACAGTTTTCTCCTTAACATTGTTGGAAGGAAGGGATAGCAGGAAATAAAAATAAGGATAAATTGTAGACAATCAATTATCAAGATAAACTATAATGTTTTTTATGGTTTCTCTGTTTTGTTTTAAAGAAGTGAGTTTCTTGACCACAATATTTTGTTTTTGTTTCAAATATATTGTAGTCCAGACACATTTTAGGTTGAATAGACATATGTAAGCTGCCTTGGGGAAATAAACTCTATGTATAAGCATTATCTCTATAGGAAAATGCATTTCGGGTTTCAAATGTTCGATGTACATACCTACTTTTAGAACATAGAGTAAATCAGGAACTTTATTAGTTCTTTGACTTGTGACGTATGATTAGGTTTTTTAAATGCTACATGATTGCAAAAGTATCTTTATGACAATTTTTAAAGTCATTTGAATAGTTGATTTTTAAATACTTTTATTTATGTCAAACACGTTTCCCTAGAGCATTTTTCTTCTCTTTTCTTCATAATTTTGGGGGAGAAAAAAAGCAAAAGAGAACATCTTTGTAGCCCCAAGTTTCAACCTGTCAGAGTGGAGGACACTTCCCCCGTGTGTGGTCTTTCAGCACCTAAACCACAACTGTCATCACGTTTCTCATCACTGCGTTTCACCGTTGAGTTTGTTTCTTCCTCAGGAAGGCACAGTTGCCAGCAGGAACCCCCATGACATCAAGACTGTAGACTTAACACATCTACACTGATGGGGTGTCAGCTCCTGTGTCTCCTGTTGGGAAACTTGTGTCTTCCACACAGTACCAGTTCTGGGTTTTATTTTCATTTTATTTTAAAAAGTACGGGCTGACAAAACCATTTAGGTAAAATAGTTGCCATTTTTCGTGTCTATTGTTTTTATCATTGTATGAGATGACCGTAGCTTGATTCATCATATATTTTGTATTTCTTTAACATTTCATTCCACAGGCACTCCAGAAAGTCTGAAAGATCTAGCACCCAAAAACAGACTAGGAAAGGCACTGCCTCTGATGCAGAAAGGTAGGCTTGGTGTTGTGCTGTACGACACCTTCTGTTTCACTAAGATGTTCTGGGGCGCCTTCTCTATCATTTGACATGTGCTTAAACACAATTGTGATGCTTAAAGACATTCGTGTAAAGAAATCTCCTATACTGGAATAGCCTCATTCAAAAAATGAGATGGGTAATTTGAAGGCAGCCCTGAAGTCTTAGGGCTTAAGAAAAATCTCATGCATTTCTCTTAGTGATCATTCCGATTACTAAAGAGGATTAAATCCAGTGCATTCCTATATACATATTAAGACATCAGTATTTAGTTTCTGAAATCATTGAAATGTTACCAATGAATGTATTACCTGAAATATGCAAATATTTTGAGCGTCTGTTATTTATCTGAATGACGCCAACGTCTTAAATATCTCCTCTACGAATGGATAATCTAAGAGTCTACTTGTAATTACAACCTAAGATATTTGCTGAGTTAATATAGAAATTAAGGGATTACTGATCTTTTGTTTGCAATTCATTCATTGCCAGAAATTTTTAAAATACTTTTAGGTACAGATTTTTTACGTAGCTGTAAAAAAAAACCAAACAAAACAAACACCAAAAAATCCAATTAACGTATATCCACTCATCCAACCAGTATTGAGGGCATGCAGGGTGATATAGTTGCAAGTGAATGCGTTCCTTCGAGTGTCACTGCTGCCGTAGAGGTGTGCACAAGGCACAGTGAGAACACAGGGAAAAGAGGTGGCTGCAGTGAGATTAGGAAATAGGTCATAAACAGGTGGCACTTGAGCTAACCCAGGTGTATGAGAGTACATGTGAAGAGCAGCGTGTTCTGTGAGAAGGGAACAGTATTAGAGAACACTGAGCCTTGACATACCCTCTTGAGTCTGGGGAAACCATGCCCATTTGGGGAGGGAAAATAGGATTCCTATCAGGAGTTGGGAGAGAGGGCTGAAAACAAAACGGGAGAAATCCTTAGAGGTTGTTATAAATGACCTCGTGCGCCATGGTGTAGAATTTCAACTTCTACCTTATTCATCCATGAGCCACGGACAGGCTTTAAACGTGAGAAGTAGATGATTAGTTTTGAGTTCCAGAATTACAGATCACTTTAACAACACTTTGGAAGGTGAATTGAAGAACCCAGGTGTAGATGCAAGACACCAGCTAGGCTGTTACAATAGGCTTGGTTGAGAGGGAGTCTGTACGCTTCAGTGATCCATGCAGTTAACGAATATGTACACCACTGTGTGTTAATTTCAAGGAATAAAATAGAGAGCAGCAAAAAGGGGGGCTTCCCAGAAGACATTACCTCTGAGATGAAGTTAGAAAACTGAGTCGGTATTAGTCACATCAAGGGTTGTGTGTGAAGAGGAGATGGATTGGTTCCTGGCTAACGGTCTGTGGAGATATCAGCTATTTAGGGAACTTAACTTACAGTGGAACAAGAATCCTGGGAACCAGAAAAAGTGTTGAGTAGAAATTCAGTTTTACAAGAGTTGGATGGTTGGATAGATAGACAGATACATCCAGCCAGCCATCCATACATTGATGGATGGACAGATAGATACAGGTAGAGGAAAAGAGAGAGAGAGAAACAGATAGATACATGGACAGCCAGACAGATAGATAGACAGATACATCCATCCATCCATACATACATACATAGATGGACGGACAGATAGATACAGATAGAAGAAAAGAGAGAGAGACAGATAGATGGACAGACAGAAAGATAGATGGATAGATAGATAAATATTGATGCATACATACACACATACATGGACAGAGAAATAGATAGATAGATAGAGACTGATGGACAGATAGATAGACAAGAAGAAAGTAATGAAACAATACTGATTATGTCACTGTATATATATTCTTTACTCTCAGCCCAGCTAATAGCAGTCTCTTTACCAGCATGTAAATGATTTTAAATCTTCAGCCATCATTCACAGCCCCCCGAGTCACATGCACACACAATTCCAATTATTTTGACAAGATTGAAATTTTTCCTCAAAGTTTCATATTCTTTATATTCCATTCAGGCTTCTTTCATTCATTTAACAATTACTAGTCGAGTGACTACTGTGTGCAGTTTTACAGTTTCAGTGAACAATTATTATTACAATAAGATACTGTTCTACAAAACGTTAGATGATTCTAGAGTCCACTGCCCATGCCTATCTGAGCATCTGCCGTGCAACACTGAACACGTCTGTAAGCACAAATCTTCCTTCCAGTAGGAACAGCAGGGATTCAGCCGACTCCTAGTGCCAAATGTTTGCTTAAGGACCCTATTCGTATTCCTCTTACCGTTACTTACTTTGCTGTAGGTTTGATATAGAAAACTCAAAGCTTTCAGGTATGCGGATTTGTTTGATTATAATTAAAGCTCTTTGTTGATTTTTATTAGAGTGTAAATCACATGCCTGGCGTTTGAGTGAATTGTTGAATAGCCGGTTACAAAAGAAGAATTGGCCTAGGTTTACATTAGCTCTCATTTCTTTAGAAGATACCTTGAGTTGACCTGTAGCTACAGATGAATTGAGACCAGAGTATGAATGCTCAGATGCTGATTCTTGGCCTTCGGGAGTTGACTGCTTCCCCAGAGGAGCCCCAGCACACAGACACACCTTGGCCTCTGGCAGAATTTGCTCTGATGATCATACTTTTTGAAGGTCCTTGGTTTGGCCTCAAAATTTTTGACCTTTTGAGAAACAGACTTGTAAGAAAATATTTTGAAAGATATGGTAACCAGTTCTAGATAGAAGAAAGGCAGAACCTACTTCTGACTTTGGTGCCTCACCATTGCAATAGAGCTTCAGACCCTCTGAAGAAGCTCCTTAGTAAATAAAAGTGTAACTTTTCACCCTCATGTGAGTTGAGCTTTGTGGATTGCTGGAACCACTGCACGTCCTGTTCTGGGGTCTTTTCTTCTTGTGGAACTTGCTCTCTGCATCCTAAGTGGGGGGTGTGGGGTAACAACTGGTATTTAGAATTGCTTGCCTATGCATTTTATGTTGTGCTGACACTCTGGAAAAAGGTCCGTGTAAGCCTGAAATGGCCATGACGGGAGGAACCATGGTGACCTTAAATACCACATGCATGTCTATCCTTTAACAAGTAATTAAAAAAAAAAAAGAACTCTATTTTTAAGCTGCAATAGAAGCAATTCATTGCACGTCTGCATGCAGCAACAGAAATGTCTAACAACCTAAATGTATTTTACTTAAGTTCAAGTCACAACACCTAAGACTTTAGGTGAAGAGAGAAGGCGTAGGTTGAACTCAGCGGTAAATATTTAGCAATGGGTTTGGAGATGGTGAACTGGAGTCATAGGTTGGAATTCATACTTTGCTCTAGAACCCTCATTATTTTTGTTTCAAAAATATATTATGTATAGACATAAAAAGCAGAGTAGATATTCAATTAAATACCATTTTCTGTATATTTTGTTCCTATAAACTCTCAAAAACCGATTCTATTAAATCTTGTCAAGCAATTTGACACCTGCACATATATTTATATTTTGTTTTACAAGATTAGCAATACATCCAGGGATGTGAAATTACCATGTTTCATCTCATGATATAGAAACCAATCCTGTCTCAAAGGCAGAAACGGGAGCAGTGTTGGAGCTTCATAGACCTGCGTGGGTCCCGCCTTTATCACGTTAGCTCTTTGCCCATTTGCAAGTCACTCTGTGACCCCCAGTTTTTCCATTTATAAAATAGGAACAATAGCACTTCTTAGAGCTGTTGCGAGAATGCAAAACAAAAAAGGACACGTGTGTAGGTATGTGGTATGCATGCATACACACACACGTCTAGACACGCACATACACACTAGTGGCTGGCATGTGTAGACGGCGCCGTGTGGATGCCCAGTGAGAATAGCTGTTACCGTCATTCTCCTTCTCTCTCACTCACTCCCCGCTCCACTCCTTAATGTGCTGGTTTTTGATCTCTTTCCCTCCGACACCCTTACATCCTTAGCACATAACATTTCATCGAAAAGCCTGGATTCTCTCACGTTTCACTCCTGAACCTTAGCATTTCTTGAATAACCCGCCTTTCCTCTTGTCTGAAACAAACTCTACTTGTTTCCACCTTCTCTTTCTCCAAAGCCTTGCTCGTCTCTCTCCAGCCTCTGCATTTTCACTTTCTTCCGTTTCCCCTCCTGTGATCCAGCCCTGCTGCCACCTTCCTTGGTTTTCCTCAGACAGAGTGGTTTCTTTGTCCCGCCTTGGGTCCACGCTTTCATATTGGTCATCGTTTGGCTGGTGGCAGGAACTGTTTTGTTATTGAGGGACTCTTAGCTTGTGTCAAAGGAGAAACAGCCCTGGGGCAAAATGATTAACCCCCAACAGGATGCACTGTTCTCGGCCCTGCAAGCTCATGGCTTGGGAAGATCTGTGTAACATTCATCTAGAAAGCCACTTATTTGCCTTTCAAATTGCTTTTTATATTTGTTCCATTTAGTTTGGGGCCACATAAGGCCCCCCTAAATTATTCACATTTCAAGTTGCAATTAAGAAGTCCTTTTAGTGCTTATGAATTGCATTAAGAAATGAAGCAAGATTTTAGTGACATTGCAAGATCCATGAATTTTCTCAGGACTAGGGTAAAAACTGTACTATCCAACTTTCAAAGCAAGTATTTTGAAGTGTATTTTGTACAAGGAGTGCTGAAGTTTATTCTCATGATAATGGCTTTTAAAGAGTAATAGATAGAAACTCATTATTTATCGTTGGAAAGGACTTGATCACACCTTGGTCCTTCCCACATAAATTAATTCTGTAGAGTTGAGTTCATGTGAGAAGGCAATCCAGATGGAATGAACAGTTTTAATATGTGTTGTCAGTCCTTTCTTCTATTAATTTTGAAATCGAAGTGACCGTCCAGGTTTCGGGATCTGCCTTAGGGGCTGATAAAGCATTAATCCAGAGCTCGATAAAATAAAATGCACATTAAAGACCTAAGCTGTACCTTTTTATGCTCTAAAATATGACATTTTCCCATTTTATTGTTTGGAAATAGAGGAGATATCCTGAATCAAAATAATTACCTGTGAAAATCATTCTACTTGAGAAAAATTGTCAATCTGTATACAAGTTGAATAAATCACTCAATAATTAATGTACTTCCTGTGATCAGTATGGATTCTTGACCCCCACACACTTTAAATTACTTAATCGAATTTTATAGCATTGTTTTCAAAAGGATGAAGTGTTATTTCTTGGCTTCTGTCACTATGAAAAGTAATACAGATTAGGTATTTTAAATGTGCATTTTATTTAAAATACGTACTGAAAATGATGAAAAAAGCAAAAACATGTGTCTGCTTTAAACAAGCATATATATATATATATACACATACCTATATATAGTCACATATAAAAATCAGTTTTTAATTATTGGTCCTTAATTCGGAAATTGGCTTCATAATAATTTTGAACACTATATTAAGATAGCTGTCAATGTATGGACAAATATCTTTTCAGCTACTTTTATACATCAGAGGACGTATTTTTATCCATATATCAGCCATCTGCATTTAGTCAGTTCAAAAATGAAGCATTCCCCATCTTACTTCATCATTTTAATTTGTTGGTCTACTTAAATCAACCTTAGAAGACAGCTTCCCTTTGCTACCTATTTGGTATGGACTTCCCTGTTGCAGAGATAAATTATGAACATTGTAAAAGTACACACAGAACTCACCAGTGCATTGCTTCTTCTGGAAGGCAAGTGCTTGAAGTGTCCCTGAGTTCACTGTCCTGACTGTGTTCACTCATTCAAATCCAGATCTCTCTACTGAGCTCTTGCTCTCTGTGCTGCTGTGTTCTAGGCACCAGAGATACAGCTCAGTAAGAAACAAGAGACAGAAGTCTTTGCCCCTGTGGGACTTGAGAGGCTTGTTACACTGGAGGAGTCCAGACAGGCCCACTCAGAACCACCAGGCGTGCACGTTCGCGATAATGCATCAGTTTGATGTGAGGTCCATTTCAGTAACTGTGTGATGGGTTTGCTCCTGGGTTTTAAAATCACTGTCTTGTAAGAGTAACCAGGTTTTCCTTGGACAGATGTGCTGGTATCAAAGTGGATGTGACCTGCTGACTGAAGATCTTTTCTGACCCTAATGTTTTAGGGTTCTCCCACCATGTCTTTCTAGAAGGGGATACGCAGCCCCGAGAGCGACTGATCAGCTAGTCCTTAGGGGAAAACATCCCGCTCGCTCCCGCTCGAGTGAGCACCCTAGTGTCAGAACACTGTGTTCTATGCACCACCTTGCCCCCGGAGGGTCGGCGCCACCTTCTCCGCTCCTGACAAGGTCGCTATTCCGTGTCTGCCTCTGGGTCTTGGTGTGGTGTTGTACCTTCCTGAGCTCTTGACACTGTCACTCATTATGACACCATAGTTCTTAATCCTTTCTTTGTGACACTTAACCTCTCCACACCCTCCCTTACCTGCATCTACCTTCACTGTGCTGGTGGTATTCTCTTCTATACTTCCTGCCAACTAGCCATCATCAAAAATTAAATCTGCCTGTGTTATGTCCTTCCATCTGTTTGTGGCATATTCATATATATATATATTTTTAATTATGTGAAATTCTGTATAAGAAATTACCTGGAATTAAATGTGTACTTGCTTTAAAAAGTGTAAGAGGAATTAGAAAAAAAATTGAAAACTTTCATCTTTGTTCAGTAAAAGCTGAGAGTGTTTTAAAGTTCTTCAGTTAAAAAAAAAAGTTTGAATGCCAGCAGATGGAGGTCAGCTTACTTCTGTACAATAGTGATGTATCTTCACGCTTCTTAAATTTGTATTTGTAGTTTTGATCTTTTCACCAGGATAGTTCATAGCATGTGCCCAAGGTTATTTTTATAAATATCTTTTCAAATTTTTCCTATTTAAACATAAAGTGCAAGGGAATGGTAATTTATAAAAGTCTGCAGCCAGAACTATTCTTATCACTTATATGGATTTAATTGTAGCAATATAGGCAACAGCCTTTCCTAAATCATTTACCCATGTTGTTAAGATTCATAGGCTGTGAGTAGATATACTAGGTCCAGCACTACCAAAACCGGATAACTTAACAGAAAGTCACAACTTCATAGAAAGTTAATGAAAAGAAGTACGTTCCCTTCTGCCCAGTTCAGGAATTCATTCTACAGAACTCTACGTGGCAGACATTTCCCTGTCTCTTGTAGCCCCTTTTGGTAATATTCCTTTTACACACATCATAAAAAGGACTTGATTTTGCTTCCAAAGGCCCAGGTAGGGGTTTTACGTCTGTTTTAAGAGGAACAGTAGGAAGGAAGAGATCCTTGTCAGGCCCTTTGGGATTTCATCGTTTGCCCTGCTTCTTCTCCCCACAGAGTGCACCGGCAGGCCAGCCCGACGCGGTCCCCGCCCGCAGACACAGCCTTTGGCAGCCCTCGGGGCAGGCAGCTCCCACAAGTGCCAGGGAGGAGCGGCAGTGCAGAACAAGGTATCCATAGAGAGAGCACTGACAAAAATCTCGGATTTGAGAGCCACCTCTTTTTATACTCCTTCTATTGAAAGAATAGTATCTTGATGATACGTAGTGCGATAAATCCTAAGAAGTCAAGTGTCTTAGAGTTTTATTCCCGGCGCCAAGTTATAACAGTTCGTGGCCTATGTGCTGTTTTTGCTGAGTGAGCGAATGAATGAATTTTAGATGGTCAATTAAAAGAACAGACTGAGCCCTAGAGATACCTTTTCCAAAGGTGCAAAGGAAGAAAATAAAACTAAAAACCTCAGTACCATGTGGTATTTTATGTGTTAAAGGAAGACGTTTTTAACCTTGTTTTAAAAATATTTTTAAATGAGGCAATCGTATTGAAGGCTTTGCTAGTGTTTTTTTTTTAATTTACCTGCAATACCTTGTATTTTTTATAGAAATTTGATGGTGAAAAACTGACTTAGAACACACATTTGAGTGTTTTTTAACCGTTAACATCACTTAAATTTCCCTTATTTTAAGCATGTACACATTGTGTTTTATCTTCCTAGAAAGAGAGATGTTGGGGGGTGGGCAGGTTTTAGTGGAAATTAAATTCACTAAGCTACCTGGCCTAAGAGGATTTAAATACCAGGTTAAAAGGGTCACTGTTTCCTTCATGTGACCCAAGGTGCTATCCCATTTCTCAGTAAGTGAAATGATTTGTTATCGGTAAATGTTATCACACAAATATTACCAGAGATTTGTTAAGCAGTTTAGTGCAATACTGTTTAATTGGGGGTTGTAACATGAATGCAGTGGACTTCTATTTAAATCATGTATTGAAACTCTTCATCCCTATGAAACAACTGAAAGGTTAACATTTTGCATATTTTTCTCAACAGTGTTGGTTGTTTCTGATGTAAAACTTGTATATTTCCTTCTGTACTGAGGGTGCTGGGTATGTGTTTTACTCACGCAAAGAGCTTTACTGAATGTATCACCGAAGTGTTAGTGGTCTAAGAAGATAAACACATTGTTTCAAAAACTGATCAGGCAGAGTTTGTACACAGAGTACTTGGTTATAGAAAAATTAGTGTAGATTTGAGAAGTATCAGTATATTGACACAAAAATGCTGCTACAATAAATTCTGGATTTGTATTATTTTTTAAAATCATATATCCTGTTGATATATCATACTTTAGTATTCAGGGTCATTATAAGGGTATTCATTTACTTAATCAGGAAAATAGGAGGCTATGTGAAACTCTGACTTTCTTTTCTGAAATAACAATGAATTCTTTGGAATTCTCAGTTCATGTGTTTAACAGACTTTCTCTTATCTGGGAACATTTTGAGAAGATAATTCGTAATTAATGTTATTAAGACTGTAATTAGCAGTAGCCTAGATGAAATTGTTTTAAAATTTATTTTTTTTAATGTGGTGTTTATTTAACTTATCCATTCATGAACCCCTGTTGCACAACTAAAAGAACTACAGGTTCTAGTGTTCCGCTACAAACTCAGTGTTACTGGCCATAGTGTGCCAAAGATTGATATCCAAAAAGTCATTTGTTTCTAAAATTCTTTGCATTTCCTCCAGTTGCTAAAACACTTCCGGTTCAAAAGTATATAACGGTACTGCATATAACGCTCATATAGTGAGATTATAGTTTTATTATTCTGTAGAAATAAGAATTGCTTCTACAAAGTCAGATGGATTGTATGCTGGACTTTGGTTTTTATAAAAGCTCATGTTCTGTTGTTGATATCAGTCAACATTACTGTTTATGAAATTCGTATTCACAGTTGTCTTTCAGAGAAATCACCAATTTGTAAAGATTGAATTGAGGTGGGAAGAAAGGAGTGACTGAGGATGAAATTGGTGGAGTTATTTTGATAGTTAATATCACAAGTACATTCCTAAACACTTGCTCCTTGAGGTTCCTGAAGTTTATCATCTTAAGAGTCATATAGATACAACCTTTAAAAAATATGACAACAAACATGTATTATTGTAACTATGTATTCTTCTATAATTAAAATGGCTCTGGTTTACTGTATGATAATACTATGTGCTTTGGGGTGTTTGGTAAATGATGATACTGTCCTCCTTCGTCTTATTATGGATCTATTTCAAGCCGAACAGTTTTCACATCTTTGTGTGTCCTAGAATATGTTTTTAAAAGTAAACTTCTAATTTGATTCATGGATTAGACGGAATTTAGCTGTTGTCTAATCCATTTGAGATGGATTTCATTGATGTTCTTAGGGCTGTGGAATCATGTCATGTTTTTCTTTCCATATTATACGTTAAAATTTTCTTCTGTCTGCCATGAAGACTGATGTGGAATGCAGTTTATTTGCAATCAGTGAAAGTTCTACCACACTTGACTTCCTTCCAGTTTTCTTTTATGTATATTTGTGGGGTTTTTTTTTTTAATTTTTAACAAAGTGTAATTTTCTTTTTTAAAAAAGATAACTGAGTTGATAAGCAGTTGTTGGTTAGGAGCAAACATTTCAAATGGTTTAGATTCCTGAATAGTGATACAACTTCCTGATGAACTTATAAAATAATTTTATTCATACACAGTTTCTGGTTACAATTATCTACATTATTTTGTTTAGGATCCGTAGATTGTTTGCATGCTTCTTGTTTGGTTTTTTTTTCTTGTAATTCAGTTTTACTACTCTCTCCTTGTACGATAAAACAATATATATTATTTTAAAAGCTAACATATAATTTGAAAGGATACACTTACTTAATTTTTGAAAAAGTATTTTAAAGTTTCTTTTAAAAATTAGTAATGCTAGCCTGTTTGCTACACGGAACCTGATTATGTTGAAGTATAGTTAGGGAAAAAGAAGAGGTGTGATAACAATGCAGATTTTGAGATAAAGTCGCTAAAAAGTAGCCTTAAAATTTAGGTAACTCAAATGGTATGTGATAATTGAGAGCAAAGACTTTCAGGAAATTCCTCTGGGTATGTTCCAATGTTGTATTACAATGTAGCCCTTAGGTAGAGTGAGACTGAAAGCAACATAATTGGTTGCATAAAAATGGATGGTTTTCTGAAACCAACCAAGTGATTTTTGTGTGTGTGTGCAACCTAGTTGCCTTTTTTAAGAGGATGTATTTAAAGATCATTCATAAACCATAAACTAACACTTGATGTGCCAGTTATGTTTTATGTGTTCTGTTATTAATTCTGCTACCTAGAACTAATGGCACTCCCCTTCAAAATATCTAGATAGGCCATTATTTCTCAGTAAATGGTGCACCAACAAGGAGGCAGAGAAAGGCTTAAGAAATGTCTGAGAAATACAGTCTGCAAAGAACAATTTCACTTTGAGATATTTTAATATAATTACAGTAATTTGAGAAGGAAGAAAGGATTACTTAAATTAAAATATATTTTTTTCCAGGTGGAAAATGTGCCAGAATATTTTCCACAGTGAAGAGAAAATGCCTACTATCTAGCAAAATCATGGAATTTATTTTTTTATTATATGCTTTTTCAAATTATCTGAAATGCTGTCATTTTTGAAATGAAAATGTTAGTTATGAATGTTAAATATGCTTTTAAGTACATTTACAATAAAAAGTCACAATGGATTAAGGTTAAAATGTCTTAGTAAAGTGAGTGCTGTAATACTTTGCAATTCTTCAAAGGCAAGAAAAAAATAACACAAAATATACTTTTCAAATGCCAAGTATACAATATTAATTCCACAGTGTTTCTGTTTTTATTTAAAATCTTTAAATTGTTGCATTCATTCTTTCTTTGATTGATTTTAGTACCATATTTGAGATTTCCTCATGGTTTCTCATTGCAGTTTACCATGTCACATTATATGTTATGTATTTTTGTTATCCATGCCGTTGTGTTGATTCACATTTCCATGTCTAACTATAAATTTGCTGATTTCTTTCTTTTGTTTCCATCATTATGTGCATTTAATTCATTGAAGAACAAGAAAAATATAACTCATCCACAAAAGGTAAATATTAATGTAACTTTTTTAACAATTTAATATTGTTTCTTTTCTCTCATAGTATATGAGTTATATAACTGTATTTATTGAAATAATGAGCCAAACTATTTAACAGATAGCTTTTTCCATGCAGTGATTTGGAAGGGCATTTGGTATTAACCGTTTTGTATTGTGAGCAGTTCACATCAAAGAGGAGAAGATTAAAATTAAGAGTATTTTTGCTTCAAAATGTATTTATCCACACTGACAACTAGAAAACGATTCTCTTTGGAAAAGAATAGCATATTTATGATATGTTTTTGTTTATTTGCATTCCCCTGCTCTCATAGATAAAGGGTTTAAGTCTTACCTTCTGTGGTGCAAAGGAATAGAAAATCCTTGGGTTTTCCTTCTAAATAGCAGCAACCTTATGGCATATTTGGCCCGCTGCAGTCATGCATCTGGGAAGTAGCTGCCGGGATGCTACTCCTCTTGGCCTCAGGAGGGTTAGAACACCCATCAGTTCTTTCTTCCTGAGGGACACAGGAGGGAAACCGTTCAGCCTGCTGTGTCGGCACGTTGCTGACCTGCCTTGTGGTCCTTTGGATCACATTTGATGTTTGGTCTTTGGACTTGAGTCCCACGTAGATGCAGACCTCCTCCGACTGTGTTGGGCCAACCTATTTGATGTTACTGTTGGCTTGATAATTAAATATTTGAATAGGAGTTTTCAGCTTAATGAAATAATATTAACAATATTAAAAAGTTATATAATGCTACATAATATAATAAAAGTATGTACTCAATATTTATAGATTCGTGATTGAATTAATTTGTTGCCCATAGTAACCCTCAGAGTTAGTCCTGAGAGGGCCATCATCCTTATTTTGTGAAAGGTAAAACTCAGATTGAGAGACATTAAGAGACTTACCCATTCATACTGGTGATGTGACCTAGACTGCAAGCCCAGGGCTCTTACTTTGGACCTCCTTCCTCTATACTTTAGTGCATCCTATTTTAATAGGCACAAATCCCAAACATATATCCCTAA